TAAATGTCTGGAGAATGGGTTGTAAGGGGAATGAATGGTGCAATAATGGATGTGAGAAGAGCAGTTTGAGTCCAAGTGACCTTAGACAAGTCATTTGACCTCTCTGACCCTCAGTCTCTTCCTCTGTAAAACAAGGATTAGAAAACCCACCTCTGAGGCTTCTGAGAGCTAAGTGATACAACGACTGCATCACTCCCAACACAAAATAGGGCCCCATCAACATGGTCCTGTGTCTTCTAGGTGAAGGGGCTCCAGATCCCTCACTTGTGTTACATTCTTCTTCTGGAACAGAAACTTTGATGGGCTTTGTTATTAAAACTCCGAGACATTGACTGATTGCATGAGGTGTCCTGAGACATCCCTGCCCATTAGAACAAAGGGAATTAAGTGATAGCGCCATACATGGGATTTGCCTTTGCCGGGAGTTTACAGCCGGTAAGGTAGGCGGGGTTGCACTGCAGACTGCAGGCTGGAAGCAGAGTAGTAAGACTGACCATCTTGGACAGCTGTGGGTGCCCGCTGGAGTGGGTGATCGTACGAGCCCACTGTTCTCTAGGAAACAGTCCCCGCCTCTCGCAACAGGCAAATCCACCGACGAAGCTGGTGCCAATCTGGACGTTTCCGAGCAGCTACCACGCTGCAGCAACTGCTCTCTGTACGCACGCGTGATCTTATTTCTAGACAAATGCAGGCACGTCTCAGATGATCAGCTTTTTCTTTTATGGATGTGTCAAGTGTATTTCGTGAAGTTGTGGTGATTGGTTGCAGACTGTGTTTCTGTTTTCTCGCCAGTGTGGACAGTTGAAGTGTAATGTTCAGGAAGGTAAACTCATGAATCTCAGGAGAACATACAATGAGCTCATGTCAAAGACTTTATTAAACGGATTCATTAATGAGAGAACCAGTAAGATGTTCAAACTGGGTCAAAGAGCATTTAGGAATCTAGGTAATTGTAGGCAATTTAATAAAGGATTATTAAGAGAGGATTGCAGGGCTTAGTTATAAGTCTGGTTCAAGTCTGATAAGGTAATAAACCATAACCTTTCAGGTTCTTTTCTTACTATACAGAGATTATTATTAACTAGAAAAAAATCTACAAAGTAACATGGAACTTCACTAAATCCTGGCCTTTAATTGGTACTCTTTATAAGATTCTAAAACTCTCTTCTCTCTAAATGCTTCATCTCTGCTAGATTCCGCAGTCTGGAAACACACTCACACTACATTCACGGGACAGTCACTGAGTGTGCAGACTAGCCTGGTCTTGAGGCCCATCTTTGGGACATCTTGGTGGTCATTCTCACCAAAGGCCACCTAATGGGATGGGCAGAGAGTCTCAGAGAACCTCCTTTTTACCCTACTCTAGAAAGACACAGGGGCTCTCATGTCGGTACTGAGTGTCCCTTTATCTCCCAAAGACTTGAACACAAGGGTATTACATTACTCAGCCTTCTCCACCCATTAACTCTAAAAGCAACCAATGAGCACCTGCTGTGTGCTGGAAGCTGGGGATGCAGTTAGAGCAAGGAAGGTGTCCTCTTCCGGAGCCAGTGCTCTAGCCCGGACATAGATACCAAATAGACGATCATCACCTACTTAATGAATTATATGTGAGTGTCATCAGTCCTGACATGGAAAAGCATTGGGCAAAAAAAATGGGGAGGACTAGTGTAGTCTGAAGGAGTCTGGGTGTCAAGTAATCTTTTTGCAAAGAAGGGACATCTAAGAGGAGTCTGGAAAGAAGAGTGGGTCTAACTAGGCACACAACTGCTGACTCTCGGAAAGAGGGAACAGCCTGTGGGAAGGACTCAAGCCCCCACAAAGGGTAGCGCTCCTATGGGGCTGATGAGGAAGTGATACCACGAGCCTAGAGATGTAGGCGGGAGTGCAATCTCTCAGGGCCCTGAAGGTTTGGGGGGAGCAGGGGCTACGGGGGAGCCTCGGAAGTTCACAGAGTGGATCATCACATGATCAAAGTTGGTATCCCCAAACTCAAGCACGGGGAACAGTGCCGTAGCTCGTAAACATTCAGCCAAGGTCGGCTGCCCTTATGAAGGAATACGTAGGTGGCCAAGGGGACACGTCGTGGAGTTCCTCACACCCAGAAGGAAATTGGTGCTTATTAGCCCTAACTGGGCTCTCTGCTTTTCAGTGTAACCCCATACACTCACTCCACCTCCAACCAGTGAGATTTGTGCCTCCCTCCCAGGGGAGATTTTCTGGTTCACCCGGGATGGGAGAGGAGATGCCCACAGGCAGGAATGTCCTTCACAACACACACACCTCTAATGCTTCAGGACCATGTTCTTTCTTTTTAAAAATGAGTTAATTTCCAAGAATGAGTTAAAAAACCTCTCAAGTTTCCAAGACAAAGATTTTAAAACAAATGTACCATCCAACCGAGAGCTCATGCTGAGGGTCATGGGCTGGGAGGAAATGGACAGTCTCATTCACAATGGACGAAAGTGTACATGAGTCAACCATGCCCAAGGGCAATGAGGGAAGGAGGAGCCCTAAGGATTTCACCCACCTGGACATTTCTCTGTGGAAATAAATAGGGAAAGTTGCAAATATTTAGCGATGAAGATGGATCATCTTAGCACTGTTTGTAATAGCTAAAAACTGGAATTAGCTAAAATGTCCCAGAATCAGGAAGGACAAGCATGGTTCATCCTCACAGTGGAAAATGGCACCACTATTTAAAAAGATACTGAATGAAGAAAGCTGTTCATGGACACGGAAAAATGTTCGCAATCTATTATTAAGTAGAAAAAAAGCAGATTATAAAGCCATATGTAGCATATGATCCCATGAGGTTTTTAAAATACAACTGACTCTCGGTATGTATATGAACGAATATGCACAAGATCTGAGAGGTCACGAACCAAAGGAGTGACAGTGGTTCTCTGTGGCAGGCATTTCTGTTTTCTTCTATTTGATTATCATTGTTTTGTACTCTCTCTGTCCTTGCTTTTGTAGCAAGAAGAAAGTTCCATGTGCAAAACTTATTCATGATCTCCTAGGACCTCAACTGCAGTAGATTTTATGTGGGATTGTCAGTTTCTGCATGGAGGATCTGACTTTACTTATGCTTCTCACATAGACAGGCAACAGTGTTTCTCTAAATACATAGAGACCTTACTGTGTGTTTAAAATATTTTTCAGCAGTTAGACATCCGATTCCATTTTTGTAACAGAAAAACTTTATGCAAAAAAGTAAATAAAACCAACACTTCTTAACAAATGTAATGGGATGGCTCATCATTTTTGCTTTGTTTTATGAGTATAAGAGGTATAACTAACTAAATTTAGTCGAAGGAAGAAAAAAGCAACCAGAGGGATAAATACCAAAATAGTCTGAAAAGTTACCTCTAAGTGGTGGGATTATGGATAATTTACACCTCTTTTTTCTTTTCTGTATTTCCTAATTTTTCTGTGACAAGTGTGCATTGATATAATAACAGGTGATCATGTTAAAACCCACAGAAACAAACTGCTTTCATTTAATTACAGCAAAAATCCATATAAGAAGGAGGTTTACCCATTGCTGCCCCTGAGACAGGGTGATTTTCCTTTGAGGACCATGTGCCTTACAGAAAGAGCATGAATCTGAGAATTAGGGAGACTGACTGGGTTGGGTTTTTTTTTCTTTTTTAAGAATTTACTTATTTATTTGAGAGAGAATGAGCATGGGCAGGGGGAGCGGTAGAGGGAGAGGGACAAGCAGACTCCCTGCTGAGCACCGAACCCGACACAGGGCTCAATCCCAGGACCCCAAGATCATGACCTGAGCTGAAGGCAGATGTTTGACCGACTGAGCCACCCAGGGGCCCCTGACTGGGTTTTGATCCTGGCTGTGTGACCACAGACTAGTCACTAACTCTTGTGTCTCTATTTCATCACTACCCCGCTAATGAACATTGACTGAGCATCTCTCATGCACCTGAATCTGTTCTTGATGCTGGGGACAGAGCAGCAAATAAGTGAGATATGGTCCCAGCAGCCACAGAACTTAGAATCCAATTCAGGAGAAAAATAGCAACAACGAGACAAAGAGCACTATGATCATTAGGACAGTAACAGCCGACCTTTACTGAGCACCTACTAACTGCCAGGCCCTGTTCAGTGAGCTTTATGTACCTAACAACACTTTTCATTCTTGCCCCCTGAGGAAGATGTTATCATCAGTCCCATTTGACAGACGAGGAAACTGAGGCCCAGAGAGAGTAACTAATTTGCTCCAAGGCCCACAGCTAAGAAGTCGCAGAGCTGGGATTTCAATCCGACTATGTGCTCTGCCGCACTCCCCCGAGAAGCTCATGGTCATCACAAATGAAAACCGTGCCCTGAGAGCACAGTCAGGAGACTCGACAGGTTAGGGCGCCTGGGTGGCTCAGTCGTTAGGCGTCTGCCTTCGGCTCAGGTCATGATCCCGGGGTCCTGGGATCGAGTCCCGCATCGGGCTCCCTGCTCAGCGGGAAGCCTGCTTCTCCCTCTCCCACTCTCCCTGCTTGTGTTCCCTCTCTCACTGTGTCTCTGTCAAATAAATAAATAAAATCTTTAAAAAAAAAAAAAAAGGAGACTCGACAGGTTAGACTGCCCTGAGGAGATGACATTCCACCAGAGACCCCAAGGATGGGTCGGAATAAATCAGGCAAAGAGTAGGGACAAAAGCCTGTGGGGTCAAGGAAACATAAGAATGTGTTTCTAAGGGGCGCCTGGGTGGCTCAGTCATTAAGCATCTGCCTTCGGCTCAGGTCATGATCCCAGAGTCCTGGGATCGAGTCCCACATCGGGCTCTCTGCTCAGCGGAAAGCCTGCTTCTCCCTCTCCCATTCCCTCTGCTTGTGTTCCCTCTCTCGCTGTGTCTCTCTCTGTCAAATATATAAATAAAATCTTAAAAAAAAAAAAAAAAAAGAATGTGTTTCTAAGCCAGGGGCTTGGTGGAGTGGTTGTTGGCAACAGTAATAACAATGAATTCTTTCTCCTCCCGTCCCCAGACACTCTTGGCCAGAGCACTTTATGACAACCACCCAGACTGCTCCTACGAGCTGGCTTTCTGCAGAGGAGACATCTTGACCATTCTGGAACAAAACGTGCCAGAAAGCGAGGGCTGGTGGAAGTGTTTGCTCCACGGAAGGCAAGGTCTGGCCCCTGCCAACCGCCTCCAAATCCTCCCTGAGGCCCCCGCTGACAGGCCCTGTCCCCCTTTCCTGAGAGGCCTGGAGGAAGCTCTCGCCAACTCCGAGGAGACCTACCAGGTACCCACCCTGCTCAAGCCCCCAACTCCAGGCCCCGTATATGAGCACATGAAGGGCTGGGTAGAGAGGCCTCCACCCACCACCGCGCAAGTCTACGAATTCCCTGACCCACCTGCCCACGCCAGAATCGTCTGTGAAAAGACTTTAAGCTTTCCGAAACAGGTATGCATGTTTCCAAATAAAACAGAAGGGTCGAGGGATATGTAACTCCCAGGGGCTGACCTTGCCCTTGAGTTCTTGGTGTCCATTGGGAGGATCAATGTGCAAAGTGGGAACCTGGACCCCTTTGATTGGCTGATGATGGGAGCTCGTATTTGGCCCCCAGTTCAGTTCTCACTAATATTCTCGGCACTCTAGTGATTCCCCACCCCACCCCCTGCCCCCTGCTCTCCAAGACATCCCCACTTGGCAGGAAATTGAAAGCTTAGTGGAGCTGTTCATGAAAGTATTAAGGACTTCCACCATGGCCTTTTTGGACACTAGGACTTCTAGTGATTGGTTCAAAGGCAAGACATTACCCAACAGATTTAACATCTATATTCCTTTCAGCCAAGAAACTTTACTTCCAGAATTGCTACAGAAATACCCAAGGAGGCAAACATATATCTGGGTGAGGAGGCCATGGCCATAATAGCATTTTTTGTTATAAGGAAAAATCTAAGATGCCTAAATGTTTGTTAACGGGGGGATTGGTTGCATAAATGTTTGTTATCCCTACAACATACTAGGCACTTGTCAAAAAAAAAATGAAGTCGTTCTAGGAGGCACATATAAGGGAGAAAAAATAACCATTTAAACAAAACCAACCAAACAAAAACTAAACAAAACAAAACAAAACCAAAAAACCCAAATGATCTGTGTGTATATATGTGTGCGTGCTCACCACTGAAAGAACAAACACCTACAGAGGTCCCCTTAGGAAGTGGAGTTGGTCACTCTTACATTCCCTGTACCTGCCACTGTGCCTGGCCTGGGGTGGGTGCCCAGTCAATGAGCAGAGAGATCAGGAAGTTGATTTGTGTGTTCTATAAGTATGTATGACATCTGCAATTTTCAAAAATAGCAATTAAAAAAAAAAAAACAAACAGAGGAAATGAAGCACTAGGTAGATGTAGAATGAAAACATTTTTTTTTTTTAATATGGAAAGGAATTTAAAGAAGAAAGGAGAAAAGTAATGTATTGCTGTCCCCAGGCCTGGGCCTTGATGAGGTGTTAAGCACACAGAACAGATTTGCATGGTCTTCTGTCACTGTGGGTGTTTCCTGCACACTTTGCTTTCAGCTCAAAGGACACATCCCACCTGGCCCCAGCTCTGGGCAGGGGTCCTGGTAAGGTCTGCGTCCAGGAAGCCTGCTCCCCCGCCCCCCCCGCCTGTGAACCCCACAAGGAAGCTGGTCACGCCTTCTGCGGCAGCCCGCCGGGAGGCCTGGCACGCTCAGCTGCTGTCTGAGCAGCTGACTCAGAGCAGGGCCTTGGTGGGGCTTCCTCCACGAGCAAGTAGTCTCTGCCGAAGTTAAGTTGGGTTTCCCCCTCTCCCCCAAAGGCACACGGGGGCCGTGTCTTCTGTTCACCGGGTGTCCCAGGCACCCGAGCCCAGGGAAGGCTCCTACCGCTTTAACGTTTGTTAAATGAATGAAGTGACCGTGGACCCCAACTTCTAGCGGGCATCGCAATAAAGAGAACGATGCGTTTACTCTCTAAACCTAACTCGGCGAAGGGTCAGGGCATTGGCTGGGAGATGTGCCCTTGACGTGAAGCGTGTCTGTGATGGGAGCCCCCCACCCACCGCCTTGTAAGGCTGCGGCCGTGGACAGAAACCACAACCACGATGGGGAATTCAGAAACCAGGGGCTCTTGAAGTGGGCCCAGTAAGACACCTGGGGAACTTTCCTGCCTTTTTCTCCTGCTTCCGTTTCCTCTGTGGCTGCTCCATCTACATTTTTCTCCCTCCTCCCCCACTTTTTGTTTGTATCGCCTTCAATGCGCTTGCAGGGGCAGGGGGAGGGGAGGGGGGTCTCTGAGAGCAAGAAATGCCGCCTGTGGCTTGGAAATCAGTAGTGTGGTCACCTGGCTTCCGGGGCAGCCACAACCATGCTGGGAGAGTGGGCCCATCCCAACACCCCTCTCTACCTCTCTGTCTTGCCACATCACTTCTAAGTGCTCCTCAAAGCTGTGCCTTCTGGTGATGCTAAATAATTCCACTCCTTCTTCTACCACAAGAAGGAAGGAGCTAGAAGAAGTGGATGAAACCCAGTTCAGAAGCTTCCGATCCGAGTAGTCTGGGGGTTAGCCCTGACTCCTTGGTGGGCAGAAGTGCTCGATAGAACTAGGCAAATCCGGCCACTAGCTTTGGGCTGTTTTCCAATGGGCAGTTCACAGGCATGGAACTGGGCCAGGTGACCCATTTCACAGACTCCCCTTAGCCCTGCATGGACGATCACTGGATTAAGGTTGACCAAAAATTAAAAACCAAGAAAGGTGAAAATATGTCACTCTTCTCGAGTTGTCTAATCAAGGAATCCACGTGTCAGGATCAGACGTCTCTATCGCTGGAAGAGGCCTCGGTGGGTCTTAAGAATGACTTGTCATGCTACAAACGAGGGAACTAATTTCCAGGGAGGTGAGGTGGCCCAGCCAGGGTCACAGGGGGATGAATACCAGCGACCGAAACTTCCTTGTGCCCGCACGTGGCTGCCCATGCCTTTAGACTCTGCATGCCCTTGCTCTTCGTTTTCCTGACTCTGTGGCTGATGCTATCTATTCTTCGAAATTAGCTTTTTACTGAGAAGTAACCTACAGATCCTAGGGGGATAGCTTAGTCACTAGTACCCAGATCAAGAAACAGAACAAAACTAGCACCCCAGAAGCCCCCTCACACTTTCTTCTGGTCACTTCCTCCAGGGTAACCACTGTCTTGAGCTTTGTTTTACTTTTTATTCCAACTTCCTTAATGTAATATGCTGGCCTGACTTTTTTTTTTTTTTTAATCGCCATACAAAGAACATATTTGATGTTGGTTTGAATTCAGAAAGGGGAATCTTTCATATTTCAAGTGAAAAGGGTCCCACTTCCTGGTGGAATTATTCTCAGACCCACTAGTTCCTGAACTGGAGTTTCCTTTTGTCTCCCTATTTTGAAATCGTGGTTCTCAGACATGTTCCTTACTTGATTGCCACCTTGAACCTTTCTGTTTCAAGAAACACTGGGCATTTCTGAACCAGCTTCCACCGCCTGAAATTCCACACACAGGAAAGCCCCTTCGTCCTCCGTGGGTGGTCTACCCACAAAGTCAGCTACAGAAAGCCAAAGGGCTTGGGGTCTTAGAGGGTAAGAGGCAATGGGAGTGCATTTGGAAAAGCTCTGTGGCAGGGGACAGAATAAGCCGGAGGTGGAGGTGACGGCCTATGGCCTGGGAATTGGACAGGGCAGGCGTGTCAGGAGCTTGGATTTAACCCAGCATGGAGTGTAGACCAATCAGCCTACGACCAGGAGGGACAAAGTCAGCTTTATTGCCCCACTGTAGAGAGAGGGTTCACAGAGCAGAGGAACCGTGGGCTGTCTCACAAACAGAGGATAAGGGAGCTTGATTAGTTATGGGGGTGGGAAAAGGTGACGTGAATACAAAGGCCTGTCTTGATAGGCTCGATGCACAACAGGGCAGTGTGTAAAGGGCTCAGCGTCAGCCCAGACTTCAAAGCAGGCTGTTCTCTCTTTGGGACCCTCCAGGCTGAGGGAGATGGGGAATATTGCATCTGATACCTCGTGTCACAAGCTCTGTGTTGGGGACCGAAAGTGAGCCTGCTTCTCTGATGAGAGTGGGATGTTTCCTTCTCACTGATAGAACTTCAGACTGCAATGCTCCCGAGAGCCTAGGATTTTAGAGAAGCAGTTTTCTCTGTGAGTGAGGAAGCAGTCATCATTTGGAGGGAGGTTATTTTGACACTCGACAGCTGACTGTGTCCTGGGAAGGAATGTCTGTCCCGTTCGCTTTGTGGCTGCTTTATCTGCGTCCGTCATTCCAGCCTGATCAGTGGTGGGACCCACTGGTCCCTACCAGTGCCTCAAGCTGTACACTTTCTTTCACCCAAAACGAGCAAATAAATAAGTAGATACTTGCATTTCCTTCATGCCACACCGGGTCGCCCTCGTGAACAAAGGGACTCTGATCTAGTCCTCATAAGCTGCTCCTCTACCTAGACTGCCCTCCCCGGCTGCACATATTCAGGTCCTCTCCATCCACGCGATCCAATTCAGAAAGCCCTTTCCAGTGACAGGTTCCTGGGGACCCAGTGGGAAATGCAGTCTCCCTCCGCCAACTCTCTGGACTTGACCCTTTCCTCTCCTCAAGGCCCTGTCTCGCTTTCCAGCCTGCGTCCTGGCTGTGTCCCCACCTTATTTCTCCCCCATTAGACCTTGACCCTGGCAGACAGCACGCACTCCCTTATATAAATCACCCATTCCCGGGCCCCTCCTGGAGACGTCCTTGTTTGAGAGGTCTGACGTGGAGCCGGGCAACCGTATCATTTTGAAGTTCGCCAGGTGGTTGGCTCCCTGGCCAGGTCTGGAAGCTGCGGCCCCTGGAGCAGCCAGTGTGGTACCCGGTGTAGAGTGGACATTCATGAGTTCTGGAGGATTCACTCGAATCCAGTTATAAGCACAGCCTCCAAGGCTGAGGGCCACCTTGGTCTGGTCCCCTCCTGCTGCGCCATCGGCCCTCATCCCCAGTAACACATCCTGTGACAGGCCCCTGCTCCCTCCCCGCCCCCTTGAGTCCCTTCACTTCACACCCTTTGAGCCTCTCCTGTCCGGCTCACTGCTGCATCCCCAGCATCATCAGATGAACACAGTAACACCCCCGGATTGGAATCACAGCCCCGGATCCCTCGAGAACTTCAGAATCACCTGGGAGGTTCACTGAAACTGCAGATTCCCAGGCTCCCCACAGGACTCAGAGGTCCCAGTACAACAGACATGGGGCCCGGGAATCTGCATTTGAGCCTGCTGCCCAGGTGAGGCTGACACAGGCAGCTGTGGGCCCCCACGTGAGGAAGACTGGCCGCCACCACGGGACCTCCCCTCCCATGTCCTGGGTCCGAGGTCTGAGCGAAGGGCCGCCAGGCAGGGGTGCAGGGACATGGCCTCCACACTGTCAGGCTGCCTTTGTTGTGTGAGGGTAACTTGGAACATGATCTGTGGACTCTGCAGTGACGTCTCCTTCCCTTGGCTCTTCTTTGTCTCCCCAAGGCCCTCTTCACCATCCCCAGACCTGCTTGGGCCTCGTTGCCAATGCTGCCTTACCAGGTGTATGATGTACCGGCCCAGAGCCGGGGTCCCCTGGCCCTGAAGGTGAGTGTCGGCCCTGGTCCTGCCCGGCCCGTGGGGTTCCCCGTGTCAGGCAGATTGCTTTTCTGCATTCAAGCAGGTGCCGCCAAGCCTCTCCTCTCTCCACCTCTCCTCTCCCCGCACCTGCACCTGTTGCTGAGCATCTCTTCTCCTCTCCCCGCACCTGCACCTGTTTCTGAGCATCTCCTCCTCTCCCCGCACCTGCACCTGTTGCTGAGCATCTCTTCTCCTCTCCCCGCACCTACACCTGTTGCTGAGCATCTCTTCTCCTCTCCCCGCACCTGCACCTGTTGCTGAGCATCTCTTCTCCTCTCCCCGCACCTGCACCTGTTGCTGAGCATCTCTTCTCCTCTCCCCGTACCTGCACCTGTGGCCCGTGGATGAACACACTTGCTCCCTTTGCCAGGACAGATGCCAGGAGCACGGCTACGCCTTGGGCACAAAAGTCTTAAAGATATATGTGCGGGACTCGCCTCACTCACCTCACCCTCACTCCGGCCCTCTTGACTCTGTCTTTATTGAAAATTTTGTTCATCATGAGTTTTTCACATTGTGATATTTTTTAAAAAAATGTTGCATCCCATTATTATTTACCTTGATGACCAAGAATTTTGGGGCCCCCTCAACTGTTTTGCCCAAGGCAGCTGCTGCACTTTCTTCACCCTGGTCCCCGCTCGAGAACAGGTCATCCCCAGCACAGCCATCAGATTCTCACCCTTAGCTTTTCCCAAGCCGGAGTTAGCCCCTGTGCCCCACGACCCCACACCCAGGTGGCACAATTCGTCATTGAAGGTCCCATTGGTGCACTTTCCACTCTGTCTGAGGGGCACGAAATGCACCCTACCCTTCCCCAGTGAGAAGGAGTCAGTAAGAAACTCACAGTTTGGCTCTCTCCAAAGAAACCCCTCTCCAGAGTCCAGCATTTTCCCTCTTTTTGTGCAGACCCTGTTTCGGTGCTTCTCCCTGTCGCTTTGGAATACACACCTACTTTTCACATCCTGATATATGTGTTTTCTAATTGCTGTACCAAAAAAAAAAAAAAATGCACATCATCTGTTTGGGCACCATGTCTTTTGCTCCTTACTGGGTGTATATACGTCATTTGGCTTAGTGTCTTGGTGGTTAACAGGCGCTCAGTGAACATTTGCAGGATGAACACACAAATTACAAGCACAGGAAAATTTCTGCTGAGAAAAACAAACAAGAAAGACAGAAGCATATTAAGTCCCAATTCCATGTATTGCTTAGTCAATCCTAAGGCTAACTTACAGATGCAAATGAGCCCCTGTTTTTAGGCAAGTTCATTCTCTCTCTAGTTTGTCCCCAGCTTCGGTCAAGAAGGCATCTTTTTATTTTTTTATTTTTTAAAAAAGATTTTATTTATTTATCCGAGAGAGAGAGAGAGAGCATAAGCAGGGGGAACGGCAGGCAGAGGGAGAAGTAGGCTCCCCACTGAGCCCAGTGTTTGACTCGATCCCAGGATCCTGGGATCATGACCTGAGCCGAAGGCAGACGCCTAACCGACTGAGCCACCCAGGCAACCCAAGAAAGCATCTTTTTAAAGCACAAAGTCCATTGTTGAAAACATAACCGCATAAACTTCCACCATGCGAGCACCATGACCAAAAGCCTCAAAGTCTTTGGTGATTTCTATTTTCATTTGGAAAAACAAAACAAAACACTGGAGTGGGCAGAGTTTGTGCAGGAAGGAAAAATCCAAGTTATCCTTTTCTGTCTTTCCCCAGGAGCCAGAGAAGCAGCTGTTATATGATATACCCCCCAGCCCCCAAAAGGCAGGACTTGGTCCCTTGGCCAGCCAACCACATGTAAGTATGACAAGGCACCAGAGATCTGATGCTAGGAAAATGTGAGCATCCTCTGGGACGTCTTATCAGCTTGGTCAAAATTGGGAATGCAAATTCCTCATAGCAGAGCTTATTTCATTTGAAACTCCTGATGGCAGTGGTATTAAGGAACAGGTTGAGTAATGTGGTTTGGGCAAGTCCTCTCTCTTCTCCATGCCTCAGTTTCTCATGACAGACTAATTGTGAGGATTGAGATAATTCTCGTGGAGAACCTCATACAGGTATAGTGTTTGGCACAGAGCAAAAGCTCAGTAGATCTTAGGAAAATTCTTCTTCTTCTTCTTCTTCTTCTGTACCTCAGAGATACGTTGTGTTAAGGTAGATTTTTATTTGTTTATAGGGGACATGCCTTAAATTGAAAATCTGTTCATTGTCGAATTGTCACACATTTACAATACATATACCTATGCCCAAGTTTTTTGGGGAAGGCCTTAAAAAACAGATGACATCTCTGAAGTGTTGTGAGAGATGCATAGGAGTTTGTTAGAGGGCAAGGAGCGGGTCGGGAGGGCATGTAGAACAGAAGGACTGGTTTGGGAAAAATGAACTACAGTGGACTAAGGGAGCACTCTGAGTTCAGGGGAAGGTGAACCGCCGGGGTGACTGGACCCACAAGGAAGCTGGTGGCCGCTGTGGTGGGGAAGCTTAAAGGTGGGTACAACCAGGGGCGCCTGGGTGGCTCAGATGGTTAAGCGTCTGCCTTCGGCTCAGATCATGATCCCAGGGTCCTGGGATCGAGTCCCACATCGGGCTCCCTGCTCAGCGGGGAGCCTGCTTCTCCCTCTGCCTCTCTCTCTCTCTCTGTCTCTTATGAATAAATAAATAAAATCTTAAAAAAAAAAAAGGTGGGTACAACCAGATGATGAAGGGTCTTGAGTGATCATGGCAATGGGGAGCCACTGAAGATGCTTGAGGAAGGGAGTGACAATCAGATTTGTAAGAAGCACAGTACCCAGCACTTAGTAGGTCCTCAGTGTAGTTGCACCTTTGTCAAATGAGTCGCTCAAACCCTCTTTTTATTGCTACTGACCTGGGCATTTTTGTGTGGTTCTTCACAGGGGCAGAGTGCTCCCCTGGTGTCAGCAATCGCCGTGAGGCGAGGCAGCTACAACACGTTACCAAGCCTCCAGAAATCAGAATGGATTTATGACACACCAGTGTCCTCAGAAAAAGCCAATGGCAGAAATGCATCTTTGAGCAGCTTTGTGGAAGAATCAGAGCCCCACACTCCGCCCAGGTATATGTCCAGCTTCCAGAATCCTCCAAACAGCAGAGCAAGGTCCCTCTATCCACACCTGCATAAAAATGTGCCCATGCAGAAAAAACTCAGCCTTCCAGAAATTCCTTCTTATAAATCCCTGGCACCCAGGGACACATTTCCCTTGGACGAGGGCGCTGGTTACAAGGTGCCTTCAAGCTTTCTGAACCCCCGGGTGGAACAGAAAAACACGAAGCCAAACATTTATGACATCCCTAAGGCGATGCCGAGCGGCTCCCTGGCTGTGAAGGAGCTGGGGAGAGTCAAGGGGGCTCCGGAGAATGCCCCGGACCGCAGCTCCTCGTGGCTCTCTGGCCAGGCCCCCTCGCTGTCTCCGGAACCGGACAGGTTGTCCGTTTCCAGTTCTGACAGCAGAGCCAGCGTTGTCTCCTCGTGCTCCTCCTTGTCCACGGACTCCTCGTCTAGCTCCTGCTCAGAGGAGTCAGGAAAGGAGCTCTCCTTGGATCCAGACTTGGCCAGAGAGACGGTAGCAGCTCTGCAGCACGAGGTGGCCAGTTCTGTCGCCAGCCTGATGCTCTTCGTCAGCAGGAAGTGGAGGTTCAGAGACTATCTGGAGGCCAACCTCAGCGCCATCCGCAGCGCCGCTGACCACGTGGAAGAATCTTTGAGGGCATTCCTGGATTTTGCCCGCGGGGTCCGTGGGACTGCCTGTAACCTCAGCGACACGAACCTTCAGGCCAGAATTAGGGACCAGCTACAGACCATCTCCAATTCCTACCAGATCCTGCTTGGAACAAAGGAAAACCTGGATAGCTGCAATTGGTCCTTGGAAGTCCTCGTGACGGACAAAGTCCAAAACAGCCTGGATGACCTCGAGAGATTTGTCATGGTGGCGCGGATGGTTCCAGAAGACATCAAGAGGTTTGCCTCCATTGTCATTGCCAATGGGAAGCTCCTTTTCAAGCAGAACTGTGAAAAGGAAGATACCTTGCAAATGACCCCCAATGCACAACTGAAGCTTGCAAAATGCATCCAGCTTCCCCAAACGGAAATTGAATCATACCAAAGAAGTGCTCCTTTTAATGAACAAAAGGAAAGTGAACACTCCCCTGAGCTACTAAAGAAAAACGGGACAATTATCTGTGAACTGGTGAGTTCAGGGTGGTAAAATAGAAGGAGGCTTTCAAATTTCATCTGGAGGGGTCGCCCATCAGATGCTAAGAGCCTTTCACTAATTGTTAGATAGTTCAATAATTGGATATTTATTATCCAATAATAATAATAAAAATATCCAATTATAGAACTATAATTATAGAACTATAATTGGATATTGAAAGATAATGATCTTTCAATAATTTTGAGAGACGTTGGTTCCATTTTAAAAAAATTAAAATTCATGAAAGTAATGTAGATGAAATCTTATTAAGAAGTAAGATAAACACTTCAATATTAAGGCACGTAGGATGTCTTCTGGAAACTCCCAAGGGATAGTTTATCTCTAATACTAGGGTTAGGAAGGACTTTGAAAACCTTTTGAAATCTGTTCCTTGAGCACCTTTTTTTTAATCTCACTCCCCAGTTTCCTTGCACTTTTGAAAGTTGTTGATTTAGTCATTGTGTTTGTGTGTCTTAGAAACAGAAGAGGAAGTGTAAACTCTCTTCCAAATTGTGCATGGTCTTAGCAGCCTCCAGACTGCAGTTACTGTTAGAAATTCTTTGCTGCATGAGTTCAGACGTTGTAGAAAGAGAACTTCTGGTTCAAGGATCGCAAGTGCCAAGAGGCACGGCACGTAACCCGGGGACAACATGACTTGGCCCTTTTAGCCCCAGTCTTTTTTTTTTTTAGTGGCATTTTTTATTGTTATGTTAATCACCATACCTTACATCATTAGTTTTAGATGTAGTGTTCCATGATTCATTGTTTGTGCATAACACCCAGTGCTCCATGCAGAACGTGCCCTCCCCAATACCCATCACCAGGTTTAGCCCCAGTCTTGTGTGGTATTCTGTTAAAATGCCTGCTGGTTGGTGTAACAGCTTGCACACATTCTAGAGAAGCTAGAAACATGGGTATTTTTCATTCCCTAATTTAAAGATGTAGATATAGATAAAGAGGTATACTATACACAAATATAAATATAAATATATATATACAATTTTTTAAAAACTCATGTGTCCAGAGCGCCTGGGTGGCTCAGTCGGTTAGGCGTCTGCCTTCGACTCAGGTCAGTCCTGGGATCAAGCCCCACGTCGGGCTCCCTGCTCAGCGGAGAGCCTGCTTCTCCCTCTCCCTCTGCCTGCCACTCTGCCTACTTGTGCTCTCTCTCTATCTCTCTGTCAAATAAATAAAAACCTTTAAAAAATGTTAAAAAAATAAAAAACTCATGTGTCCTTGTATCAAGCCATGCTGGTAGGCAAAATTCAGCCCTTGGTCTTGCAGAGTCTCCTTTGTTGAAAAAAAGGCATCAGCCCTCTGAAACTAATAATATACTCTCTGTTAATTAACTGATTTTAAATTTTAAAAAAAGGCATCCGGAGGCAGAACCATTGACAAAAATATAAAGAAAAATGCTCAAGTTTTAAAGTGGACTTAAATACCTCTGTACAGTGTAAAAACCACTCACGTTGGTAATTGGAAGGGATTTTATTTTTCAGAAGCTGCCTAACCTAGAAGAGACAGAAAAACCCGTCTTGGAAGGAAGGTTGGATGAAAACAAAAACTTCGAAGGACAGGTAAGTGATAGGGCTGGCTCTCCCGGACTTCTGACCCTTTATCGCTCGAGATGTCTCCTACTATGAACAAGTCGGCATTCTAGCCATGACACCTTTGGGAGTTGATGTTTTTGTGACAGTTTTTCCTGTTTGCAGTAGAAGGAGCCCTGAACAAGTCCAGTGAACCCCAGTATGTGGAGCACGATTCTTGAACCATTAGTGACATAGTTCTCAGTGGTCTGCAGGTTTATCACGGGTGGGACTGACATGACCTTTGACATCCTCTTTTAATGCTTCTGATTACAATAGAAAAACTGTTTTGGTTTGGAGCTTGTGTATCATCAACACCTCTTTGACACTCGATGTTCTTCCTTTTTTTTTTTTTTTTTTTAGTCAAAGATGTTATCATTGTGCTTATTTTTTTGGTTACTTGCGGCAAATGACAATGATTTTTCCAGTTACCAATCTGAAGAGTTTCCATTAAACTAGTATAAGTAAAACCAGTGGATTCCTTTAAAGACAAAGATGAAGCAAGTCAGGTTAAGAGGGAGGCAAAAAGGGCATACCTTGTGAAGGTTGTCTGAATACCTGAAGCCTGGGGATCAGTGAAACAGATCAACTCCCTGGCTGGGGGTGGGTGCAGGTAGAGGAGGGAAGGACAAAGATGTCTCATGACATGGACAAGATCATTCGTCTTCTCAGGGGCAAACTAGAACGAGATCCCTAGGCTGGAAGTCCTAGGTCAGGGAGCCAGCATGGTCAGGTCCTGGGGAGGGATCCCCTCTGTTTTCTAATTCTGTCCTCTCGTGGCAGAGAGCAGAGAAGGAAAGGAGCTCTGACAAGGGCATAATCCCATAACAGGGCCCCACCCAAAGGACCTCATCCAATCCCAGGTACCTCCCAAGGGCTCATCTCCTGCTACCTTCACGTAACAGGGTAGAGTTTCAACACACGAAGTTGGGGGGCACAAAAGTCAGACCCTCTCACACTGTCTGAGTGCTTCCAGGCTGTGAGTTTTGAGATCGCAGGTGGATGAGAGAGCAAGCAGTTTAACGAAAAGACTAAGAATTCAGACTTAGCCGACTCAGCTTAGAGCGCCGGCTCTTCATTTTGCTACATGAATAACCACGGGCAGCCCCCTCACTTCAGAGAGCACCAGTCTCCCCACCTGTCCTAACAAACGGGCTTTGGGTGATTACCCGGAGGGGTTGCCACTAAGTTAGATGCTGAGAACCTTTCAACAGTGCCTAGGCTTTGGAAGACAATGGTTCCACATTTCAGAAAATACAACTCATGGAAGTAAAATTCGGATGAAATCTTACTAGCAAGTTGGAGAAATATAATATTAAGGCAGATAGGTCAGCATATTTGGATTTCTTCTAGAAATTTTGGGGGCTCAGGTTTACTGCCGATGTTGGAATTAGAAAGGATTTTTTTTAATCCTTTAAAATCTGTTCTTTAAATTTTAAAATCTCACCATCAAGTTTTCTTTTATTTTTTTAAAGATTTTATTTATTTATTTGTCAGAGAGAGAGAGCACAAACTGGGGGAGTGGCAGGCAGAGGGAGAAGCTTGCTGAGCAAGGAGCCCGATGCAGGACTTGATCCCAGGACCCTGGGATCATGACCTGAGTGGAAGGCAGACACTTAACTGACTGAGCCACCCAGGCATCCCTCTTTTATTCTTTTTAAAGTTATAGATTTAGTCATTGTCAATGTGCTTCTTGGGATGGGCTGCTAATGGTTTGTTGAGAGTATTGAATAAGATTTTATGTATTTAACATGTAAGATTATATAGACAACACAATAGGTAAGATTGTATATATAAATACTATAATTTATATGTAACAGTGCTTTGAAAAGATTAATTTGTTAGGCAGATGGTGCACTGTGGGGCATCCCAAACAAAACTGTATTTTTTCTTATAAAAAGTCTAGAAAATTGAGCAAAATAGGAAACAGGAGACAACCACAGCCTGGTGATCAAATCTGTCTCTTATCAATTGTTTTCTTCCCTTTTCCAGAATCCTAGCTCCCCCATCCCACAGCCTTTGAGTCAGCAGAATCCCGAGAAGAGATTCCACCTTTCTGAACACTGCCGGCTCTATTTTGGGGCGCTCTTCAAAGCCATCGGCATGTTTAACAGCAGCCTCAGCAACAGCCAGCCCCCCGAGATCTTCATCACGCAGAGCAAGCTGGTCATCATGGTGGGGCAGAAGCTGGTGGACACACTGTGCAAAGAGACGCAGGAGAGGGACGTGCGCAACGAGATTCTCTGTGGTAGCAGTCACCTTTGCAGCCTGCTCAAGAACCTCGCGTTGGCCACCAAGCACGCCGTGCTCAAGTACCCCTGCCCTGCAGCCCTGGGGCACCTCCAGGCTGAGGCCCAGAAGCTGGAGCAACACACTCGGCAATTCAGAGGGATGTTGGAATGAGCCTCCTTCCCCCTCTTTCTCCCTCCCTAAGGTTAACCTCTTAGCTTCAGCTTCCCAGCCCCAACCTGTGTAACTCTGTCCTACGGGCAAAGCCAGCCTAGGGATGCACTGATGGGCAGAAGCTGGTATTACCAAGTGGCTAAACAACCCCAGGACATTGGCTTATGCTGCAGAGAGCCAGGTGTTAAGTAAGAACCTTGCTAAGTTTTTAGCATAGCATAGCATAGCCCATAGTTAGCTGGGCATATAGCAGTGAATCATACAAAGGCCTTGTCCTCAGGGAGCTTACCATCTAGTGGGGAGATAGACGATAAGTGATGAAGAATTACATACACAATGTGTTAGGTGCTAGGGAGACAGTAAAGGAGGAGAGACTTATTTTCAAATGATGAATTTCTGTTGCATCTGTTAGCAAATGTGATAAGTTTTTCATTTTGGACTGAATTAATTTTGTGAGATTTGGTACAAATTCTGTATCTGCATCTTATACAACATATATATATATATAACATATGTGTGTATATATATATATATATGCCATACATATATATTCTATTTTATCTTAACCGAGTTAAAGATGCATGTCATATTTACAACGTAACATGTTCTGTTAGGTTCCTTATTAATTTATTTTGTATATAATAGCCTATGTTGATAAATTCAGTATGTTTACTCAGAAAAAGCTTGTACTTCAACAGTCTCAAATCTGTTACCATTTATAAAGTTATGTAAATATAATCATGAATTTAAGCATTCTTCATAGCAATCCTTTCTTTGGAAGAGGTGGTGATCCATGTCACCCAGATTCTGGTACCAAAGCAAAGCCACCAGTGTTTACTTTTCTTATTCAAATGCTTTTCCCCAAAGTGTGTAGGGAGATGCAGTAGACGCCAAGTGCTCATGCACGAGGCTAGTATGGCAAAAACAAAGCCATCACTCATGGTGGTGCAACCAGAAGGTGTGGTGTGGACAGGATATCCATTGCTGGGCACAGATCTGAAAGTGGTGCAGAGCTCCCTCAAGGCAAACCACCTCCTCTTCCTCTCCTTGCAGCTGGGTCTTCAGCTCATGTTGCTATGGTTACATCATCTTTACTTCACTTCAAGTGAAGGTCCATGTCTCCTATACACATCTCAACCACTAAACACCTTTGTAGCCTGGAACCAGCAGCCTCAGGCTGGAAGTCATCTGAAATGTCACCAGCCTGCCTGCTACTCGGCACTTAGTAGGCACTTCTAAATGGTTGACTGTTAGAAAGCTGATTATTTTCACCGAGTTACTCCTAGGGTCTCTAAAGAAAGATCGTATCTTTGTGAGGCTTGCTTGGTTCTCTAATTTAGAACAGAGAAGCCACATTCTTTGAACAGCTGTGATCTGTATTGGTTAGGACTCCTTCTGTTCCAAGTGATCAAAAACCATATCCAATCTTTCTTAAGCAATAAAGGAAATTAATTGACTCAAGTATCTTAAAATAACCCAGGGGCAGACTGGGTTTAAGGCCAGCTGGTGTGGGTGCCCAGTTTCTCAGTTCCACTTTCTCTGTGTTAACTCTCATGATTGCAAGGTGGCTGCCCCAGGTTATGTCCTTGGTTTGTGGCCAGAAGAGAAAAAAGAGGCTTGATTCTGCTTGGACTAGCTTAGAACAGGTGCCTGCCCCTGAAAGCCCCACAACAAGGAGGGCATGTAGTACCCAGGTTGACTTAGACTTGGGATTCAGCCCTCCACACAGGCGCACACACACACACACACACACACACTCCCATGTGTCCCGAGAGAGGGAAAGAATAGCCCTGCCAAGAACTATGACATGTCTGAGATTCCCCTACTTTATATTATTTTTTTAAAAGATTTTATTTATTTATTTGACAGAGAGAGAGAGAGACAGCGAGAGAGGGAACACAAGCAGGGGGAGTGGGAGAGGGAGAAGCAGGCTTCCCGCCGAGCAGGGAGCCTGATGCGGGGCTTGATCGCAGGACCCTGAGACCATGACCTGAGCCGAAGGCAGACGCTCAACAACTGAGCCACCCAGGCGCCCCTGAGATCCCCCTACTTTAAATTAACAAGTTAGCCTGCCAATTTCATGGACATTGCAAGAAGACAGAAGATTCTGGGATCAGAGACTATGTCTGGGGCCCCCAAGACCACGGCTAGGTCCAATGATTCGCAAGGAGGAATCCCAAGACTCAGCATTACGTTCGTACTCACGGCTCTGATCTATTACAGTGAAAAGAGACAGCAAAGGGAAAGGCTCAAAGAGTTCAGTACAAAGGAAATCAGGCTCAAGTGGCCAGGAGTCCTCTCTCCCTGGTCACACGGGACACTTTTAATTCCCTCAGCAACGAATTGTGACAGCACCTGTGAGATGTTGCCCGCCGGGGAAGGTCACGAGAGCCTCCCACCCAGGGTTTCCATGGGGCTGATCATGTAGGCAGCCCATACATGGCACATCCCCGAAGTCCAGACTCTCGAAGGCGAGCAGGTGTCCAGCATGAACCACATTATTTGTACAAACAGCTTAGGCACACTGACCCATTCTCATCAACTCTGGGGATGGTGGGCACCCTCCCCAAATCCAGGTTTTTATAAACAACCAAAGGCCAAGCTTGCAAGCCAGCCTTTCCAAGGATATTATTGATGCCTGCTATGTTAACTCCTCCGCCCAGAGACAAAGGATTTTCCTTACAGCCTTGCAAGCAGCTTATGCTTCATCTTTATATCATTTCCACCTCAGCCCAAGTCCGAGGGCAGAGCAAAACAGGATGCAGATGAGGCTATGCACACACTGAGTTTGTGTCAAAGCCAAAGAACTCAGCATAGGCAGCCCCAGTCTTTCCCAATGACCTCTGCGCAAACCTGATCAAGCCTTGCCTCAGAGCGAGACATTGTCTTTATGATACTGGACAGCAAACACACCTGCCTTTCTGCTCTGGAGAGAGACATGATCTCTGTCTTCCCAGGGCGTTTGCTAAAAACCGCCTTGAAGAGGTAATTCAGAACAAAATGTCATCAATGCCTCTGCTCAAAGGACATGCAAAAATGCAAAGGCCCCAAGAACCGTGTCCCAACAGGAGCCCCAACCCAAGTCGGGAATTTTGTTGGAAGAAGGGCGGCGGGAGGGGTGGGGGGGGAGGGTGTTGCAGGGAGGCACCAGGACCTGTTTACTCCAGCCGGCAAGATGATTTTTGCACCATAGTGATAACAACAGCAGGTATTTATTAAGTGATTACTACATTCCAGACCCTGTTCTAATGCTTTAGTTGTTTTAACTCTTTCGGTCCTTCATATGTGAGAGGCTCTAACAGGTAATCAACAGATCCCTATTGCTTTCAGAACACTACAGATGTATGTATGTAGATAGGCAGGTAGATAAACATATAGGGAGACATATCTGTCTATATTTTTTTCTGTCTCTACATGTATTTTGAGACGAGTTCAAACCAAGGGCCTTTGTTGACAAAGTACAAAACCATTGGGTTGAACATAATAAAAGCTGCTGTTCTTAGCTAAATGTGTTTCCTTCCTTTTTTTTTTTTTTGAAAGAGGCCAGTTATGAGATGAGTTTCCTCTAATTCGATAGGATAATTGCTTCTGAAAAACATTTAAAAGAAGAATATTGCATTTTTTAACTTTTAGCAATGTTTTGCTAAGTAGTTTTCTTTCATGCCCAGAATTCTGTGCTGCTTCCTTTTAAGGAAGGAAGAGGAAATGGTGGGTGGTGTGGTGGTAGCAACTTGACCTCAATTAAGTTAAATTTCATCAGAAGGATGGAAGTGGTGAGGAGCCTAGTTGAGAGATCTTCCAGTGTGACAAGCCCTGGGGAGCTGGGTTTCTGGTTTGGGGGCAACTATCCTTTTTTTAAAAAATAAAATATCTTTTTAAAATTTTATATTCTCCCCAAGGATGCACCCAGGTCTCCAAAGGCTGCCCGTTTACAAAAGTTGCCCGTTTGTATAGGTGATTGGCTAATGCCTTTTTCCTTTTGTTCATTCATTGATCAAATATTCATTGTGCATCTCCTATCTACCTGGCCTCTACTGATCACTAGAGGAACTGCAAGGGACAAACCAAAGCTTCTGCACCTTGCAGCCTTCATTCCAGCTGAGGGGGATGGGAAACCAGAGCCAGGAAGAGGTGGGGTGAGTGAGGCACCTCTCCTTAAAATCAAAATATAAGGGGGCACCCAAAAACTTAGTAATCAAGATACATTGTATTTTGATGCAGTATTTTAAAAAATCACAATCAATGCAAAGAAGTCCATGTTGAACAAGATATCAAAATTTAAATTTATAACGAAAGGTCAGTGGCAGTAAGTGCAATGCAGAAATTAAATCAAGGTGGGGGTAGTGGATAGAGAAATGGACGGGGGGGTGCTCTTTTACTGGGAGAGGTCGGGGAAGGAGCTCTGCAGAGACACCGCCCCCTCCCGCCAGGAGCAGACGTTGAGTCACTCAAAGGAGACAGCCTGGAAAACAGTGGGAAAAGAGTGTTCCTGAAGAGGGAACCGTGAGGCAAGTACCCAGAAGTGGAAACGAACCTGGAGCTCTCAAGGGAGAGATGGGGCCAGCGTGGCTGGAACCAAGAGAGGGAAGGGAAAGTGGGTGACATGATCTGGGATGGGTAGCCAGAGGCCAGTTCATGGAAGGCCTGTGTATTCCTGAGATATGTTTAATGTTTCCCTAAAACTGCTAACTAAAAGTAATTTTTTTTGTCTTGAATTATGTCGGGATTAATTACTTCTAGTTGTCCACTTTATTTGACTTTAACCCTCTTTGGGACATCCTCAGAAGTGTAACCGTACGTGATGGTTTTGAGACTCTTGAAGAATCCTAACACACAGCCGTTTGTTGTTGTTTTTTCATGCTAACTCTTAAAACGAGTCACTCTGCCTGTCTGCCTTGTCCAGACAAAATTGTAAACTCCAGCTATGGGAGAGCGCATGGGCAGTACTCACCGGAAATCAAACCCTCAAGGTTCGGAAGGCTGAAACATTTGGGAAAGATTGTAATGGGCAGTAGGAGCACTTAGAGTACTTGTTCTTAGCTTGGGCCTCAGTGGGTGATGCATGAAATACATAGATGTGTAAACAGTAGCAAAATTTTCTATGTACCACTGGATATTTTTCTGGGGAATAAGTCCAAAGTTTTCATCAAATTCTCTATCAAGTCCAATAACCCCAAAGAGGTTAAGAATACTGGTTTTGCCACAGGATGATGGTTTTCTCTTTCCTGGTTTTATTCCTCTCCTGCCCTTTATTTAAATCCACAGTTTGACCGGGGTGAAGTTGTCACCAAAGATCCTTGTAAGGGAATATCCTGTCTCAGTTCACTCAGCAAAGGCAGTGGAAAGCAATGGCACCTAATGATACCAGTTTGTCTACTGTGCAGAGAACAAAATGGCTCAAATCACGGAAAGCCCTGAGTACAGGACCTGATACTCTCAGCCAGCTCTCAACACAAATTAGTTGCTGTTGATGATACTAACTCTACAAAAGCTTAAGCTGTGTATCGTCTGCAGCACAGAGCAGCCTAAAAACCAATATTCTAAATGAGGAAACCAAGGAGGAAGAGAAAAAAAAAAAATTCAGCTGCCCGAGAGCTTCAACATCCACCCAGTTGGCCCTGCTGGGCTTCACAGCAGCTTTTGGGGAGAGGTTAAAGAACACGGCATTTGTAGTCACATGGGCCTCATCTGAGAAAGCCTCTCATCTTGTACTCCTTTTACTCGACTGCTGTGGGCCCCTGACCCAAGACTGTACACCTCAGTCTCAGGTTTCTCATTTGGAAAATGGAAGGCATTATATCCCCTACCTCCTAAATTATGAAGACAGAGGAAACAATGATCCAAATCTCCCAGTGCACAGTCATGGTTTAATAAAGAGTAGTTATTTTTATTTTCATTTCTCCAAATGAACTCAGGGAGGGGAAGATTGAGTCTCCAGAAAAGAGCATTGGTTTGAGAGTCTGTCTAAAGATCTTTGCATTTATGCTATTCTGTAACTTGATTTTCTGTCCTTGGGGACAGAGGGGGAAAAACTAATATTGTAACCCAGTCCTAGCTCTCCCTCTTACTAGCTGTAGGACCTTGGGCAAGTCCTTTGATCTTTCCCAGCTTCTATTCCCTTACTTGTAAATGGATTCTTATAGTACTTACCAGTTTTAGGGTCTACCAAAACTGGACTTGTCACCCTCCTTGAATGTGTCAGTACTTCCTTTTTGGTTTATTGAGGAAATGAATATTGAGTGTGCCAAAGGTTCTTCCATGCACTGGGGACACAATGGGGACTAAAGCAAAGTCCCTACCCTCACAGACTTTACAATATCTGTGACTGGTATAAAAATAAATCATAAGGCGGGGCGCCTGGGTGGCTCAGGCGTTAAGCGTCTGCCTTCGGCTCGGGTCATGGTCACAGGGTCCTGGGATCGAGCCCCGCATCGGGCTCCCTGCTCCACGGGAAGCCTGCTTCTCCCTCTCCCACTCCCCCTGCTTGTGTTCCCTCTCTCACTGTGTCTCATTGTCAAATAGATAATAAAATCTTAAAAAAATAATTAAAAAATTAAAAAATAAATCATAAGGCAATGAGAGACCAACGAATTAAAGGATTTATTTTCTTTTAATTCCCATTAATTGCAGTAACAGATAACCCTATGTTACAATCCGTGAAGTTTTCATATCCACATATTTTCTGTTCCCAACTGGGGAGTATTTCAGATTTATTTATTTTTTTTTTATGTCTCATTTTGGTCAGCAAGGTAACATCCAATTATGTAGGTCCACCTTACTCGCTGTGGTTAGACTTCCCCCTAATATTTATAATAATTACAGGAACAACTAGAAAAATAGTCAAGAGCATAGAAGCAGACAGTCGTGGATTTTAGCAGGGATTTTGCAAGGGATTTGGGTTCTCGTTCCAGACCTAGTACAATACAACCTGTCTCTCGGAAAAGGCAGGTAAACATCAGTGTGGCTTTTATACCCGCCTCTGTTCGGTATACCTGGTTTTTAATAAAAAGAATAAAGGAGGCTGCGAATCAAATACATGCGCATACAGCCTCCTTGCAACTTTTCCTCTAGGGACCGTATGCATGGCAGTGTCAAAATTCCAGGCCTTAGAGACTCTGACGTCCCCCAGAATCTCCTATAACACCACGTCACAGGATTTGCTGGGAGTGCTGACGTCAGCGTGGTGCTCCACAAAAGTTCTCACTTAAACACCTGATTGTTATCTGAAATAACAGATGCCATTCACCTGCATCGTGAACTGCGTTAACAAAATGCGGCCCTTTCCGTCGCAGCGCTCAGAGCGCGGGGATGTGCCAGACCCACAGTCAGACACGCTGGGGTGGGACGGGGCCCGAGAACAGGGGTGCTCTTTAGTCACCCCTGCCCCCTAAGCGCGGCGAGCGGTCGCCACGGTGCATCGGAAACCCTGCACCCACCGGAAGGAGGAAGGAACCGGCCGAGCCGGGAGACGTGGACGCTCCGCCAGCCCCTGTGAGTGCAAGGACCGGCTGGAGCTCCGGCAGCCCTAGCCGCGGGGCCTCGCCCAGCGCCTAGCGACGCTCTCCATGGCAACCGGGGCTTGGCAACGGATCCGCCCCACTGCGCCGCGGCGGGCGTGTTGCGTCATCCCTGCGCGCCGGAAATGACTGCAGAGGTCGCCAGGGTCCCCCGGAAGTGGTCGCTGCGGGCTATCGCTACTGACTCTGACTCTTGGCTGGCGATGGGTTGCGACGGAGGAACGATCCCCAAGAGACACGAACTGGTGAAGGGACCGAAGAAGGTTGAGAAGGTCAGCGACGTGGGTCCGGTGGGGACCGGCGCTAGGGGGCTCCCCAGGGAGCGAAGGAAGGGCGGGGAGCTAGCGGGGTTCCCGACGCTGCCGTGCTCATTTATCTCATTTGGAGAACTCAGAATTAACAACAATGTTAGTATCAGACTTTTATTGAGTGCTTACTGTTGCCACTCGCCTGGCAGTACGCTTAATATGCGGTAGCTCGGGGCGCCTGGGTGGCTCAGTTGGTTAAGCGACTGCCTTCGGCTCAGGTCATGATCCTGGAGTCCCGGGATCGAGTCCCGCGTCGGGCTCCCTGCTCGGCAGGGAGTCTGCTTCTCCCTCTGACCCTCCTCCCTCTCATGCTCTCTGTCTCTCATTCTCTCTCTCTCAAATAAATAAATAAAATCTTTAAAAAAATAAATAAATAAATCTTAAAAAAAAAATGTAATTGTTTAGGGACGCCTGGGTGGCTCAGTCGGTTAAGCGACTGCCTTCGGCTCAGGTCATGATCCCGGAGTCCCGGGATCGAGTCCCGCATCGGGCTCCCTGCTCAGCGAGGAGTCTGCTTCTCCCTCTGACCTTCCTCCCTCTCATGCTCTCTGTCTCTCATTCTCTCTGTCTCAAATAAATAAATAAAATCTTTAAAAAAAAAATATGCGGTAGCTCGTACAGTTCTCACAACAGCCCTGTGGGCACGTATTGTCATCAGCCTCGCTTTCAGAAATAGGAATTGAGGGCCACGAGGACAGAGTTGCAACCCTAGGAAGTGGCAGGGCCAGGATTTAAAGCTTGTCTGCCGTTAGTTACAATGAGACAGATGGCTGCTGTTTATTGAGCTTTGTACCCACTTAACTTCATTTTCTCCGGGAATTCGTCCCAAAGGTTCTCTTATCCACATGAGATCAGGTCTTTCTCTTAAAAAACTATCTTACCACCCTGCACACTGCCTTCATGGTTGATTAATGTCAGTCACAGAGAAAGGTAAGTTCCCTGTGGCACAGTCTTCACCTTTTCCTCTCTACAGCTCGCACAGTTCTTGGCACAGTAAATACGGTGAGTAAATGAATGAGTGGATAATTCTTAATTCTCACAGGTAACTGAGAAAAATTGTATATAATAATTTCCATGCTACTAACAGGGAAATTGAGTAAGTAACATGACCAGGATCACACAACTGACAGGTAATGAAGCCAGGATTTCCAACCATTTATTCAGGGATTAAAAGTTAGCATTGGTGATTACTTTATTTTTTTAACCCTTTATTTTTTAAATAATCTCTACGCCCATCGTGGGGCTTGAACTCATGACCTCGAGAGCAAGAGTCACATGGTCTACCAGCTAAGCCAGGTGCCCCGCATTAGTAATTACTTTTTTCCCTAAGATTTTATTTGTTTGCTTATTTATTTATTTACTTTTAAGATTTTATTTATTCACTTGACAGCGAGAGAGACCGTGAGAGAGGGAACACAAGACGGGGGAGTGGAGTGGGAAAGGGAGAAGCAGGCTTCCCGTGGAGCAGGGAGCCCGATGGGGGGGGTGGGGGGGCGAATCCCAGGACCCTGGGATCATGACCTGAGCCAAGGCAGATGCTTAACAAGTGAGCCACCCAGGCGCCCCTTATTTATTTATTTAACAGAGAGAGAGAGAGCACAAGCAGGGGGAGCGGTAGGCAGAGGGAGAGAGAGAAGCAGACTCCCTGCTGAGCAAGGAGCCCTATATGGGGCTCGATCGCAGGATCCTGGGATCATGACCCCAGCTGAAGGCAGACTGAGCTACTCAGGCGCCCCAGTAATTATTTTTTAATAACAGAAGGCATGTAAAGTACCTAATACAGTGCCTGGCACATATGGATGCTGCATATATTCTCTATTGAGCAGCTAGAAGATCTTTAAAGGTAAAATCTTTAAAAGGTAAATCTCGTGTATCACTACTATATTTAAAATCCTCCAGCAGCTTTTTGTTATATTCAGAACAAAATCCCACAAGGTCCTGTGTGATCAGATGCCTTGCCGCTCCACCTCATCTTCTACCCCTCTCCGGGTCTTTCATTCTGTTTCAGCCAAACAGGCCTTTGTTTCTCAGCCTGGAGTAAAATTTCCACAACCTGATAATGTTCTTCACTGAGATGTTCATATCATTTGTTTCTTCACTTCATGCAGTTCTTTCCTCAGATGTCATTTCAGTCCATTATTGCCAAAATACATCTCACTTCCATCGCTCTCTGTCCTCTTTTGCTGCTTTACTTTTCTTTATAGTGCTTATCGCTGTTTTCATTTGTTTATTGTCTGTCTTTCTCAGATATGAACGGAGACTTTGTGTCTTACCTTTGTCCACCACACAGTAGACACCTGGTAAATGTGTTGAATTTGAGAATGAATGGACTCTCAAGAGGAGGGAGTGTTCCCTCTCATCACACCTACAGATGCATAGACTAATGCTAAATAGTTAACACTCATGAGAGCTTTTCCAAAAAAGTATTCAGCTAGTTTCATTAACTTGTGACCAGGGCTGAAGAGGAGTAGCTTAATGAAAAGCTTGGTAAGGTGTCAGAAGGGGATAGAAAAGAAGAAAGGGTGATCTGAGACAACCAGAGTGCTCAGGCAGGATGGATTTTGTTATCCTTATTTATTCAACAAATACATTATTAAATGCTTATCACAGGCACTATTCTAGGCCCTGGGGACAGGGCAGTGAACAGAGTTCAGGCTTTACATTGCCTACATTTCAAATAGATATATAATTTAATATTTTTGATCACTCACATGGTGTGTTTGGTCTGGTAAAACCATTGCTGTAATTTAAGACCTTTCCCTGAAGAGAGACCGGGGTAAAAAAAAAAAAAATGTTTCAGAAGTTTTTTGGGGTTACCAACCTGGGTAAGGATTAGTTTATCACTTTTCTCCCTGTCCCCAGCTATCCCAATTATCTTTTGAATCAGCAAAGTACTATGGGTAAAGCAGGTGAGGGATCCAGAAAGGAGATCCTGGACTTGCTGAACGTGGCTTTTTTGACTCTGCAGTGGGTGTAGTAAATCGACTTCACTGGTGGCAGGTTTTTCTTGGGCCTTGGCTACACTGAATTTTGATAAAAGTTATTTAAGCAACCAAAGTATAGCTCTTGGATCTGGGGTATGGGTAGAGTAACAGTTGCAGTAGTGTGGGTTTTGTTTTTATTTTGTTCTATTTGAAATAATAGAAAATCGGTAGAAAGTAGTGATTAAAAGCATGGTCTCTGGGGCACCTGGGTTGTGCAGTTGGTTAAGTGTCTGATTCTTGGTTTCGGCTCAGGTCATGATCTCAGGGTCATGGGATCAAGCCCTTCCTTGGCCTCCGCACTCAACGCAGAGTCTGCTTGAGACTCTCCTCCACCATGTCCCTCCCCCCTTCTCTGTCAAATAAATAAAATCTAAAAAAGAAAAACCACAAAACTTGGTTTCTGGAGCCAGCCTGCTTGGGTTCTTATCTTAGCTTCTTCATCTACTTGCTGTGAGACCTTGGACATGTAACCTAACCTCTTGGTACCTCCATCTCCTCAGTAACAAAGTAAAAATACTAAGTTTTAGGGTTTCTCTGAGGGCTAAAAGATTAAGTCACAGAAACTGCTTAACACAGCACTTGGCACACAGTAAACAAGCAGTTGTTACTGCAAAAAGTAAATTTAAGGGAATTTTTCCATATTTTTTTTTCCTCTTCCTACTTTCTCCCACTTGTGCCCTCCTATTATCCAGGTTTGGCATTTTAGGAGAGGAAAATAGTGGGACTTGGAATATTAATATAGGTGAAATATCATTTGAGGGCAGTAGAAGGTCTTGTGTTTGGATTTGATTTTTATAAAGAATTATATAGTCTTTGTGCTGAACTTAAAAAAAATAACTATTTTCTAGATTCTCAGTCTTTAAATTCAGCTAAAACTTCGGAGCCTTTCCCACTGATAGAAATTAGCTTGTATTGCTTATTTTTTCTGTCCTGCTTCTCTAACTTACTGTTAAGGTACAAATGCTGGGGGTACCTGGTTGGCTCAGTCGGAAGAGCGTGTGACACCTGATCTCGGGGGCGTGAGTTCAAGCCCCACGTTGAGTGCAGAGGTTACTAAAAAAATAAATAAATTTTAAAAAATAGATACAGACACCAATATTTACATGCAGCTTGTATAAGCAATTTAATGACTTGATATGAACCGTTTTGTTGACATGTCCTGTTTAGTGGGAACTTGGTTGGACATGGTATTAGTTACTTGGACTTTTTAATCCCAGCTTCATGTGTCACTATCTTTGATTTAAAAGACAAAAATCATCACATGTGGTATAACTAAATAAGCCCTTATAGGTAGAACTGTGGACCATATATCTTTCAGAGGTGAAAGTTAATTGGAAGGATTTCTTTTCTTTTCTTAGGTTGACAAAGATGCTGAATTAGTGGCCCAATGGAACTATTGTACTCTAAGTCAAGAAATATTAAGGCGACCAATAGTGGCCTGTGAACTTGGCAGGTATGGTTCCTTTTACTTAATTGAGATGAGTTTTTATTAACTAATTTTTAAAAGAATTTTAATGTGAAGGAAAAAGAATTTTAATGTGTAAATGCAGTTCTTGATTCATGAAATGTGAATCATCTCAAACAAATTTGTGAAGCCTAGGTTATCATTCCCTGTCTCTGAACATACGTCTGCATTTTTCTATTCAGTTTGGTTTATTTAATCCAGGATCTGAAAATTCAGGGGCCAGTAGGAGCTCGGTTATAAACATAAATGCATGAAGGAGCTATGTGGGGTAGTAGGGAATGGTGGGGACTGGAGGAAACTGGAGAGTTCATGTCTTGTCTAAAACGGTAGCTGCTACTCATTTCCAGCCAGTTGTTACAGTTCAAGAATGTGGGCCTAGTGATTCCAGAACTTCTGATTGTTTTTCCCAGGAAAAGTTGAAAATGTACTTTTACATTACATTTCCCAATTTTTAAGTTCCTGTTCAGATCACATTCGGCTCTCAGACCGCCAGTTTGCAACCCTTGGTTTAAACTAGTTTCTTTCTTTGTATACTCTGGAAATAGTTGAGACAGGATTTAATTTACTTTTTTAATAATGCAGGGCATTCCTGTTACCAGATGTAAATGACTTTGGATTGTACTGAATTTCGTCTTACTCCTTTGTGTGGAGGTTGACTGTTGCTAGAATGTTCTGACTCATCCTTATTGTTGCAGACTTTATAACAAAGATGCCGTCATTGAGTTTCTATTGGACAAATCTTCCGAAAAGGCTCTTGGGAAGGCAGCATCTCACATTAAAAGCATTAAGGTAAGACCAGTGATTCTGAAGTTCTCCAGGGGTCTCAGTGGTTAACGTTTATTTTATAGAATTCATGTACATTATAGACTGAACTCAGAAATTTGGAATTCTAGTCCCACCCAGCCACCAAATGAAAGTGTGATTTGGGGGTGCCTGGGTGGCTCATTCGTTCAGCGTCTGCCTTCGGCTCAGGTCACGATCCCAGAGTCCTGGGATTGAGTCCCACATCAGGCTCCCTGCTCAGCGGGAAGCCCGCTTCTCCCTCTCCCACTCCCGCTGCTTGTGTTCCTGCTCTCGCTATCTCTGTCTCTGTCAAGTAAATAAATAAAATCTTTAAAAAAAAAGAAAGGAAAAGAAAGTGTGATTTGGGGCAGGTCATTTAAAGCTCAAGCCAAGAGTTCCTATGCCTGTCCTTCCTGCCTTATAAATTTGTTATAATTTAATATGTGCAAAAGAACTTTGAAAACAATGTGATGTATAAATGTTTGGAGACATCATTTTTGTGTTAAAACTCAGCTACTTGAATTTTTGATTTGGAAGACACTTACAGAATTAGAGAATTTTATAAGGTAGATCATTATTAAGTCAGTGTGATATTTCCTGCTAATTAGATGTTCTGATTGACAGTTAAAATTCTTTTATAAAATGGAAAAAGTTTTTTAGTAAAGGAAGTTGATTGAGAGGACAAAATCTTGCAAATCTGGTCAATGGGAGAAACATCAGGAAGGTGGTAGAGAATTTGAGGACCATCAGCCTTGTCAGACACTTCATCTCACAGGTGAGAATACTCACTATCCACGACTTTTTTTTTTTTAAAGATTTTTTTATTTATTTGACAGAGAGAGACACAGCGAGAGAGGGAACACAAGCAGGGGGAGCGGGAGAGGGAGAAGCAGGCTTTCCGCCGAGCAGGGAGCCCGATGTGGGGCTCGATCCCAGGACCCTGGGATCATGACCTGAGCCGAAGGCAGACGCTTAACGACTGAGCCACCCAGGCGCCCCATCCATGACTTTCTGAGGCCACACAGCTAATGAGGCACCAACCCAGAACCAGAGTCCCTGGCTCTCTGTATAAGGCTTTGGGTTTTTCTCTTCTTTCTTTGTAAATTTTTTATTATATTAGGCCTTTTGTTTGAATTCTTGGAGTGATTACAGGATACAGGATATAATTTCAGGCAAATTAGTAATTTTTTTTTTTTAAGATTTTATTTATCTCATCTCACAGGTGAGAATACTCGCTATCCATGATTTTTTTTTTTAAAGATTTGTTTATTTATTTGACAGAGAGACAGCAAGAGAGGGAACACAAGCAGGCGGAGTGGGTGAGGGAGAAGCAGGCTTCCCGCTGAGCAGGGAACCCGATGTGGGGCTCAATCCCAGGACCCTGGGACCATGACCTGAGCCGAAGGCAGATGCTTAACGACTGAGCCACCCAGGCGCCCCTGTCTGTTCAATTACTAAATAAACATGGGCCACCAGGAATATGGAACAGCCTCAGTGAGGATTCATTCGCAGGGAAAGAAAATTGTTCCTTTCCGGATGAAATTAATACAGAGCTTTCTGTTAGTGGACTTATTTTTCATGTCCAAAAGTACTTTTCCTTAGATAGCAAAATATTTATAAAATAGAAATTAACTAATTCACTTGCCAGTCAGTGAATTTTAAAACTCTTGTTTTCTATTGCAGTTTATGGTTTAATTTTTTTATCCATGTTACAATTGATGGCCAAAGGAAAGGAGCTAGGAAGAAAAGGTTTGGATGGGAAAGGACTGGAATAACAATTTCTCTATCGATTTAGGTGGTTATTGAGGCTAAGGATGATCCATTTATCAGATGAATTCTTAAACTATGGATGGTTTTTCACAGAATGTGACAGAACTAAGGCTTTCTGATAATCCTGCCTGGGAAGGGGACAGAGGAAACACAAAAGGTGACAAACACGATGACCTCCAGCGGGCACGTTTCATCTGCCCCGTTGTGGGCCTGGAGATGAATGGCCGGCACAGGTCAGTAAGGGATGTGGGGCAGATGGTGTGGAGTCTGGTTAGATAATACTGATGCTGTTAGGATTTGTGCTGTAGCTGTATAATCACACAGTCGTCGTCTTTTTTTTTTTTTTTTAAGATTTTATTTATTTATTCAATTATTCGACAGAGAGAGCGAGAGAGGGAACACAAGCGGGGGAGTGGGAGAGGGAGAAGCAGACTTCCCACAGAGCAGGGAGCCCAATTGGGGTGAGGGGTGAATCCCAGGACCCTGGGATCGTGACCTGAGCCAAAGGTAGATGCTTAACGCCTGAGCCACCCAGGCGCCCCTCATCACACAGTCTTCTTTAGGGTGTCCTTTGGTTTGGGTTGTGTCTTAGAGGTGGGGTGCTACCATGAGACCATGTTCATTCCCTAATAGCCGTTTCTCATGTGGTGTCCCACCAAGTCCACTCAACTTTGGTGTCTGTGCTTTCTGTACTTGAGAGTAGGAGCACCTAGAGTAAAGAGGGATTTTAAAAATTTCTCATGTGACACTTTATGAGACCTGAGTTGGATTATTTGTTTTTTTCTTACGGGAAGAAAGCAAAGGACAAATGTTGCCCATCAGGCAGCTCCGATTTCCTTATAATTGCTGAAAACTGTGTGGTGGAAAACAGTGTCACCCAGTGTGTGCTCAATCAGTCAGCTGAAGACCCAGCTGATAATGATAACTTGCTTTGAATTTGTAGCGAACAAATCCTCTGACTAGAGCACCAGAAATCCTAAGGTCAAGAGTTCTATAGCAAACATAAGTGACCTGTATATTTCTGCCTTAAAAAATATGAATGTTGACTGTAGCAGGTGCCTTTTTATAGAATGTCTCAGTAAGCCAAAGCTTTCAACTCTTTTCCCACCATTTAGAAATACCTTTAATAACTGGTAGTCCCACCTGCCATCTGGAACCTTCCATCTAACATATTACTTGTTGAAAGGTAGTACTTTTTTACTATTTTCATTCAGGAAATGGGTGGGGTTGAAACGGGGAGAATCTCAAGTAAGTAAAAACTTTGAGCTATAAACAACCACATTGAATCTGGAGCATTCTGGCACATTTGTACACATCCATTGAACAGACGTGTGTGTGTGTGGCATACTTTGCCAGACAGCGTGACCACCATGCCCTGAAATGGCACAACCTGTGGCTTTGTGGATTTGGAGAGAAGTAAAATTTTAGGCCCAAGGGGCTTTTAAAGATTATATTCTTCAGGGGTTTTGGGGGGTGTGGTGGGGGAATGGGTTAGCCCGGTGATGGGTATTAAGGAGGGCATGTATTGCATGGAGCACTGGGTGTTATACGCAAACAATGAATCATGGAACACTACATAAAAAAATCAACTAATTAATTAATTTTAAAAAAAGATTATATTCTTCAGATAGTCTGACTTTAAATCATTTAAGCCTCTCAGAGTTTACCATTTAGTGGTAGCTCTATGAGGTGGTTAATATGTTAATTGGCTTGATAGAGATGATCATCTCACAGTGTATACATACATCAGATCATCAAGTTGTACACCCTACATATAGAAAATGTGTGTTTGTCAGTTGTACCTAAATAAAGCTGAAAGAAAGAAAAAGTAATGAATTAATTAAAAAGCTAAAGTTCTGGGGAACTAGACTCACCTCATCTCACTTTTGTGTGCATTTCGGTATGTGGTATACACACACATTATTTCAGGGTTAAAGTTGTAACATAAAAGTGACCATTTTAAGGTGCATGTTTCAGGGGTGTTTGGTACAGCCCCAATGCTGTGCAGCCACCAACCTCTGTCTGCTTCCATTTCCCTCCATTTCCCTCCCCCCAAAGGAAAACTCCGTAGCCACAGAGCAGTCCCTTCCCGTTCCCCCAGCCCCAGCCCCTGGCCACTGCCGGTCTGCTCTCTGTCTTCATGGATTTGCCTATTTTGGAGATTTCCTATACGTAGAATCATTCAGTATTTGACCTTTTGTGTCTGGCTTCCCACTTCTTTTTAAGAAGACCATGGTTCACCTCAAAAGAGGAACTTAGCAGAAACAGACTCAACTCTGGGGTCTTAAGCAGGGGTTACCTGTAGCCTGTTGCTCCGATTGTGGCTTCCCTAGTTTTTCCCCTTTTTCACTGGTTAATCTCCTCTCTTCTCTCTTCCCAGTTAATTGAGCTTTGCCTGTTTTGGCTTTGCCCTCCTGCTATTAATATGGCCTCCACACTAGAAAATCATACATTTATTAAAGCCTATATAATAAAGATTTAAATATAGAGAAAAGTAGAAATAAATGACTAGTGTAATGAAAACATTGAGCCTTTGTTTAAAGAAAAACAATTTTCTGGGATGCCTGGGTGGCTCAGTCGTTAAGTGTCTGTCTGCTTTTGGCTCAGGTCATGATCCCAGGGTCCTGGGATCAAGTCGCGCATCGGGCTCCCTGCTCCTCGGGGAGTCTGCTTCTCCCTCTCCCTCTGCTGCTTCTCTCTGTCAAATAAATAAATAAATCTTTAAAAAAATAATTTTCTAAATTATTAATAATTAGTAAGTATCCATAAAATAGGACTTTTTTTTTTTGGTCCTAAACAACAGTAAATGAATGTAGTACAGTGTTATTAATTGGGTTTTTGTTAAGGCAATCTGTATCCACTATAATCCCTAAGGAATTGGAGAGACTTTCTGTTGTGGCATTTTTAGAGGAATATATAAAGTAAAATGTGCAGGTGAGTTTTGCCCCTTTCCCCCAGTCCTCGCCTCCCATGGCAACGTTCTTAGTTGTTTGGAGTTTCAGCGCTGCCCCCCACCCCACACACATACTCCACACTTCCCTACACCTCTGCCATTGGAAATATAAATAAATGTATATTCTTTAGAGTCATGGAAACGTATTAGACCTATCTTGTAACCTCTTTGTTTCCTACTTCTCTGTCTAATGTGAGCATGTTTTCATGGCCTTGCATACAGATTTACCTTGCTCCTTTTAATAGCTGTGTGAGTGTTCATAATTTATGTAACCATTCCTCTGTTGATGAACATCTAGGTGCTTTCCTCTTTTTCCTTGTTACGAGCAGCACTGTCCTGCACAACTTCATAAATACATATTTATGCATTTGTACACTCGTGAGCATGTTTCTATAGGAGATGCTCCGAAAAGTGCTTTTTTCCCTCGATACTGACAAATTGTCCTTCTAAGACGCACTGTGTTGTGCCCACCACCAACAGACATGCCTGTTTCCTCTGTTTCTAGCTGGATAACTTTAGTCTCTCTCATTACTGCCGGATACGTAAAACATGGCACATCATTGTTTTGCAGTGGATTTCTTTAATTTACAGTTGAGGTTAAGCATTTTTATGTTTTGGCCATTTATATTTCTCCCATGAATCGCATGTTAATGCCTTTGCCCATTTTTCTGATACATTGTTTATTTTTGCTTTTTGAGACCCTTCTGAATATTCACAAATACTGAATCTCGGGGCACCTGGGTGGCTCAGTCAGCTAAGCGTCTGCCTTCGGCTCAGGTCATGATCCCATGGTCCTGGGATAGATCCCTACATCAGGCTCCCTGCTCAGTGGAGAGCCTGCTTCTCTTCCTCCCTCTGCCTGCCACTCACTCTGCTTGTGCTCTCTCTTTCTCAAATAAATAAATAAAATCAAAAGCAAACAAAAAAAACACTGAATCTCATATATATTTAAAATAGTCTCTCCCAAGAGTTCCTGTTCTGTCTTTTGACTTTTTATGTTTGTGGGTTTTTTTTTCTTTAACGTATTTATTTTTTTTTGTAGGAGAGACATTATTCTAAAGGATTATTACAAGGGACCAGGAATGGGACTATGGCCTATATTTCTCGTTTAAAGTAGTATATAAATAAATATATATGGGACATACTGATTTCTTTTTCCTTAATGGAATCAAATGTGACCATTTTTCTCTTTGTAGTTTTTGGCCTTTGTACAGACTAAACAAATGTTAACCAATAATCTGAGTGATCATTTTTAAATTATTATTTAAGTCATCCTCCATTTTGGATTATTTCCCCAGGTTTTGCTTCCTGCGGTGCTGTGGTTGTGTGTTTTCTGAACGAGCCTTGAAAGAGATAAAAGCAGAAGTTTGTCACACAGTGAGTTGTTGGCATATATCGTTTCTTCCGTCTTAGTAGCTGAGGAAATCAGATGGTTTAGGGTCCCTCCCTCCATGTGGCATTTCAGCATCCTTCAGTTCTTTCTGAAACAGATCTAATTCGTTGTTTCTCTGCTTAAAACCCTTCCATGGCTCATCCTTGCTGGGTGTAGACTCAGACTGCCTTTTGTGACGTGTTCCTGCCTGCCTGGCCAGCTCCGGCTGAGCTCGGGCTGCTCCCTGACCACCTCCTGTGTGTGCCTTTGTTCCCTCTGCCCTGACCTGCCAGCTGGGGGAGGTCATGCCCCCTGTGAACCTTAGCTCCAGAGCGATTGCTTCCTCTGTGAATCCTTGCTGCCAAGCCGCCTTCCCTATTCCCTGGGCACCTTGTTATCCCACTGATCTCATCAGAATGTAATTGGTAGTTACATCGTGGTTTCCCCACTGGACTGGAACAGTTGTTTTTTTTCCTTTTTTTTTTTTTCTGTAAGACTTTATTTCATTATTATTATTAAGTAGTTTTCATAACAAACTTAAGAGGAAAGTAAGGGATTTTCTCTATTCCTTCTGCACTCCCCCTCCCCCCCGCCACAAACAGCCTCTCCCATTATCAATGCCCCCACAGGGTGGGGGGGTGCATTTGTTACAACTGATGAACCTACACACCATCACCCCAAATCTCTTAAGGTTCCCTTGGTGGTGTCTATATTCTGTAGGTTTGGACAAATGTATAATGACATGTATTTACCATTTTCGCTGCCCTAACAATCCTCTGTGCTCCATCCGTGAGCGTTTGAGAGCAAGAAGCAAAACTTGTCCATCTCTCACCTCCAGAGCATGTCGCATGTCCTCGGTGAGTGCTCACACGAGGGAGCAAATGCCTGATGTAGGAGCTTCCCCATGCAGCTCACATGACGGAAATGCTGATGGCCCTGCTTTCCCGGTGTCGCTGCCGCGGACCCAGACGTTTGTGTCTCTGGTGTTCTGTTGGCCACGGAAAACCTACCACTTAGTTTAATGTCATGGATGCCAACAGCTCCTGTTTGTAGTTTCACCCATATTAACTCTGCTTGGGTTTCATTGGGCCCCTCGCCCTGCTTCTTCCTGTTGTGAACTGTTCTTTCATTCAGCAGCTTTCACTGAACACCTGTGAGGGGCCCGCCTCTGTCTCAAGCACGGTGCGGTGGGATAGCCTGGTGGATAAGACAGATACAGCCCCTGCCTCCACGGAACCCACAGTCCAGTTGGAGAGGGGTGCTCAGAGAACTGAGCACGGCAGTAGTGACTGTGACCAATGCTGGGAAGGGAACACAGGGCGATGTCCCGGAGCTCGGAGAGAGGCTGCCGCAGTGGCAGGGGATTCTGCTTTGATATTTATGGCAGGAGATAATGTTAACTTTTTTTTTTTTTTAAGATCTTATTTATTTATTTGACAGAGAGAGACACAGCGAGAGAGGGAACACAAGCAGGGGGAGTGGGAGAGGGAGAAGCAGGCTTCCCGCCAAGCAGGGAGCCCGATGTGGGGCTCAATCCCAGGACCCTGGGATCATGACCCGAGCCGAAGGCAGACGCTTAACGACTGAGCCACCCAGGCGCCCAATGTTAACGTTTAAAGTAAATTTAAGTAAAATGAGAAACAATGGGCTCGTTCACAGAAATACACCAAGACACTGATGGTACCTGGGCAGGGATGCCTGAAGCTATGGGACAGGTCGCACATGGTGGCGGTAGGATGTGGGTGGGGGCGGTAGGGGCGGTGGGGGCTCTTGAGAAGAGGAAGGAGAGAGCAGCTGCTGCATCAGAAGGGCCCGTGGAGACGGAGGTGCAGTGCGAGGTGTAGTCCTCACGTGGGCAGTGCGGCCTGTGCCAGCCGGGAGAGAGGCCTGGGAAGTGAGTCAGACTGGATGGTGGAAACTTCGAGGGCCAGCCCAGGGAGCAGGTCCAGGTGGGTGTGCGGTGCGGCGCCGTTGACGCCGTTTATGCTCTGGGAGCATAAATGTAGGCCTGTGCAGGACGCACGGAGGGTGACGGCCGACCAAGAGGAGCTGTTTGGCAGCAGGTGTGCGCGGGGCTTCTGTGGGGGAAGCACCGTGGGAGCCGGCCCGTGGCTGGCCTGGGGTTCCTTCGGGCAGGAAGGCAACTCTGCATACATTGTGTTCAGGTCTGTGTGTTTTCCCACATAGTATGGAAGGTGTTGTTTATGTGTTAGACATTTGCAAGTACATTCTGGAAGTCTGCTTCCAGGATTGAAAGAAAAGAAATATGAGAAGGTGGCAAATTAAGCTGAAATTTATTAGAGAAGCCAAATACCCAGAATCAGTGGCTCCCAAACCAGGCTTGTGCGGTAGAACCTCCACAATAGTATATGCTCCCATCCCCTGTTTCCGACCCACCAAATCTGTAATCTTCACAGTTGGGGTAGAGCCCCAGGGATTTCTGCTTTTGTTTGAGAGTTCCCAGAACGATTCCAGTGGGCAGCCAGGCTTGGGGGACTGACTGATCCAAAGCAGCCAGACTTTTATTTTCTTCTGCCCATAATGGTCACCATCCCTTAGATGGCATGAAGCTGTCCTTGTCATAGGCTGACCTCACACATCCATCAGTGACCACTTTAACAGACTTGCAGCAAAACAGAACTGCCTGCACAGAGCTTTACAGAGAAGTTGATTTTATGGAAATAATTGCAAGGGAAGTCTGAAACCTTTTTTTGGTACTTGAGAAGTTTTACTGGACGCTTGTGAACTTTTAAACGTCAGCACCTTGGGCACTTCAAAGGAAGGGAAGGAAGCAGGTGGAAAGGGGAACTAAGGGTGTCAGGATTGCACAATGGGGCAGAGGGCAGGTGAGAACCAGGAACACTGGCTCTTCCTGTCTCATGAGGGCGGCTGCCATGGCTGTCGAAACCTCCGGCAGGCAAGACAGGACACTGGCTATCCTCCAGGAAGTTTCGGGAAATGTTTTCGGAAAAAAACTCCAAGTATTAGTTTGCTAATACTGGCTACCACAACAAGGCCCCAGAAACTGGGTGACTTCACAGAAATTTACACATAGTTCTTGAGGCGTGAAGTCCAAAATCACAGTACTGGCAGGGCTGGTTCCTTCTCAGGGCTGTGAGATGGTCGTCTTCTCCCTGTGTTTTCCTATGGCTTTCTCTCTATGGAGTCTGTCTCTGTGTCCAAATTTCTCCTTTTTATAAGGACACCAGTCATTGGAATAGGGCCCACCCCAGTAACTGCGTCTTAACTACATCTACAGTGACCTGATTTCCAAAGAAGGTCACGTTGTGACATACGGAGGCCTAGGACTTCAACTTTTTTGTGGGGGACACATTCAGCGTATGACACTGTGCAATTTAGAAAATCACAGAGCATGGGACAGCCAGTGGCCCACTTGAGTGGGAGGCGTTCATCCACATAACCAACACTGAGAGCCTGGTATGGATCAGCTTTGGGTCACATGCCAGCGCTGGCTTGGGACTGTCACTTCTCAGGGCCCCAGATTCTAATATGTAAAATGAAGGATTATAATAAATTCTTAGACACTTTCCTTTTAGATCCAGATTCCAAACAATAACATTTTAAAATAATAAATGACAAATTTATATATGCTGTCGGGAATCAAACTCCTATGTCTAAATTCAAGTCTCTAAAGTGTAGGAATGTGTAAGGTTGGCTAACTGCTATGACCCACAGCCCTCACGTTCCAGTGTCTAATGCAGTGACAGTTCCTGGTCGGACAGCTTTCTTCCAAGGGAGACTCAAGGACTCGGACTCCTGCTGGGGTTGGAGTATTCTGCACTCAGCTGACTGTTGGGAACAGGGCGGGGAGCATACAGCGTAGGAGATTTTTATGGCCCAGGCCGGGAAGTGGTGCTCATCACTTCTGCTCCCGTTCCGTTGTCCATCGCTCAGTCGTGTGGCCACACCAAACTGCAGGGAAGCCTGGGAAAGGTACTAGAGCTGGATGCCCAGGAAGAAATGGACAGCAGCCATTTCTGCCAAGACTGCCGAAAGGAAAAGTCATGTGCAGCTCCAGGAACTGCAGTGCATCAGGGAAATGTCAGTGAAGTGAGGTGAAGCCACAGCATCAAAGTCTAAAACACATATTTTCGATTTTTTAAGTAATGTCTGAAATTTAGAGAAACCAGTGTCATAAGAATGCCTTGGGAACCTCAGGGATATTTAGGGTGTACGTTTTCTCTACTTTCCACTCTGTAGTTTCATATACATTTGGTTTTTCAGTTCACTAGAAGAGACTCAAGGGTTTGAGATCACTCTGGTTGTGTGTTCTGAAACACACGGCGTGCACGCTTGATTTCTGTAAACAGGGTCCAAAGAGATGTAGTTGCTAGGTTGGTTGGTTTGTTTGTTTTTGCTATAAGCAAGTGACTAGCCAAAAAATTAATTGTATTCCCCACTGTCTTCTTCCCTTCTTGTAATAAAGAGAAACACACTGGAGTAATTAGTTTGCCAAATAAATGATGTGCTTATTACTCAAAGCATGTTCCACGGTCCTGTAATATTGGCATCACCTGGGAGGGTTTTTTTTTCTCCTTTTAAGAAATGCAGACTCCTGGGTCCCTCTCCAGACCTGTGGAATCAAAATCTGTATTTTAACAAGATTCCCCACCCTCACACCCCCGCCGTGGAGATTTGCGTGCACTATAAAGTTTGAGAATCCCTGATTTAGAGGTTAGAGTTGTGACCAGTAGCATTTGACTTGCCACTGACTTCATTTATTTAGGCTTTGTGGTCATTGAGTAGGATATGTGGATATTTTAAAGTCAGAAGTGAAACAAAAATTTACATTCATGCTGATTTTTTTTTTTTTTAAAGTAATCTCTATGCCCAATGTGGGGCTTGAACTTACCACCTCAAGATCAAGAGTTGCATGCTCCACTGACTGAGCCAGCCGGGCACTACTCTTTTGCTGTCTTTTCGTGGGGAAGGGGAATGGAAACGGGAGAAAATGTTAGGGAAAGTGGTATCTTCAAAAGTGGTCTGCGAATGCTGATTTTTTTTCAAGCTCTGACATCCAGCGGGTAATTTTAGCTTTCTGCCATCTCTATGGTCTTTGGAGGTATTAAGCTTCAGGGAACTGCATAACATGCAACACAGGCAGCCTTGAACTTTTTCACGTTAGAGAAATCTAATAGAAAAATTGAACAGTAGAGTCTACATTGTTAGCAAGAAGGTACTACTACGAAAAAGGGAAATTATCTCAAGATCCCAATTAATGCATCACCTTTAAGGTACAGTCTGTAGTGGTCTGTTTCAGACATTCTTTTTGCACGTGATTTAATTTTCCTCTTACAAATGAACACCGAGTGTGACTCAGAGTAGAGTGAACAGCAGTTTCTTGGTTCTGATGCCAGCGGAGGCTGCTGCTTTCTGTTGGCCTCCCTGGCCTGTCCCAGCCTTGGTGGCTGCCTGTCTGTCACCCTCGGCTCCCATTGTTCCCCCGGCACGCTGCTGAAACCCAGCTTGTCCTTCCCTGAATCTCCTGCTGCTCCATTGCACCATGCCTTTAAGTTACTCTTACTTACTTTTTTAATTATTTTATTTTATTTATTTATTTATTTAAAGATTTTTATTTATTTATTTGAGAGAGAGAGACATAGCAAGAGAGGGAACACAAGCAGGGGGAGTGGGAGAGGGAGAAGCAGGCTTCCCTGCAGTGCAGGGAGCCTGATGTGGGGCTCGATCCCAGGACCCCGGGATCACGACCTGAGCTGAAGGCAGACGCTTAACGACTGAGCCACCCAGGCACCCCTATAATTTAATTTTTATATATATATATTTTTTAAAGATTTTATTTATTTATTTGAGAGAGAGAGAATGAGAGAGAGCACGAGAAGGAAGAGGGCAGAGGGAGAAGCAGACCCCCTGCTGAGCAGGGACCCGCCCCCCCCATGCGGGACTCGATCCCGAGACTCCAGGATCATGACCTGAGCCGAAGTCAGTTGCTTAACCAACTGAGCCACCCAGGCGCCCCTAATTTTTATTTATTTATTTATTTATTTATTTAATCTTTACTGGAATGATTTGTAGAGATAGCTTCTTCTGTTATATCTGATCCCTTGGAGGGCGGCTCTGTGTTTGAGTTCATTTCTTTGAATGAGGGTGAGGAGGTGTAAAGACTTGGACTCTGGAGCCAGACTGCCTGCTTAGGTCCAAATCCCAGCTCCACCTGTTTAACCGTGTGGTCCTGGAAAGTCCCGCTGTTGCCCTGTGCCTCAGTTTCCTCATCTGTGAGATGAGTCAGAAATCATTCTAAGTGCTTCATCCTTGTGGCAACTCTGGTAAGTAGGTTCCCGGATTACACCCTTCTAATGTGTGACTATTGAATTGACATTGAAATGAAATATTCAATTGACATTGAAACAAAATGAAGGCAGGCTTGTGTTTCAAGTAACTTGAAAAGATACAAGCTTTTTTTTTAAAATGGGTTTTGCCCTTAACTTGCTAGTGAGTTGTCATAAAACATAGGAGACACAGTCGTGGTGAATTTGAGCTTTCAGAACGTAGCCAGTTGGCACCATTTGTGAGCACTGTGTTTGCCTATAAAAATGTGTAGAGGGGCGCCTGGGTGGCTCAGCCGTTAAGCGTCTGCCTTCGGCTCAGGTCATGATCCCAGGGTCCTGGGATCGAGCCCCACATTGGGCTCCCTGCTCTGCGGGAGGCCTGCTTCTCCCTCTCCCACTCCCCCTGCTTGTGTTCCCTCTCTCACTGTGTCTCTCTCTGTCAAATAAATAAATAAAATCTTAAAAAAAAAAAAAATGTGTAGAAAAGCAGAGCTGTACTGTCCGTAGGGCTCTTGCGTTCTCGTCTTTGACAGTCTGAACATTTTGTGTGTGCTTTCCTTGAAATTAGGTGTCTAAGTGGGAGAAATGTTTGTTGAAACGAAGATTTTAATGTTCTCTGGTTACTTACACTTGATTTGTGGGACCTGCTTTCAGAGCCTCTTTTCCTTCTATTTAGCTTTGTGCTTTCCAAGGGCTATTTGCATTGACTAAGTTGATTTGATTTTATTGCAAAGCTTCAATTCACTGAGGCTTTAGATTGCTTGTGAGTTACACATTTATTTGTTTAGTGTCTTCTCCCTGGTTCCCGCTTTTCCTTTATTTTGGTTGTTCCATGTTGTGCCACTTAACATTTTCAGTCTTGTACGATGCCACAATCTATTTTAGAGAAAGAGAATATAGAGAAAGTCCTCACAGAATGATGAAAAAGCCATGGACTGTTTAGAGACCCGAATCTGTGCGTAGAGAAAATTAAGATCATTCCTGCCTTTGGCCAGTGCTGTTCAGTATGGTAACCACCAGCCACATGTGACTATTTAAATTTCAGTTCATTACATTTTTTAAAAATAAAGATTAAAATTCACTTACTCACACTGTCTACATTTCAAATGCCCTGAAGCCCCTGTGGTCGTGGTCGTGGTCGTGGTCACTGGCATGGGGCAGCCCAGGCGTAGCGCGGAGCGAGCCGTCAGGGCAGACGGTGCTGTTAGTGCCGCGAGGCTGCGGAAACGTATGGCAGCCTTTTTACGAAAGCGTGTTTCAGCTCGGGATTAGTTTCATTTTACCCAAAGGAAGTGACTCTTCTGTGTTTTTCTAGGATTACCAGAACAAAGTTAACATGACTGGCAGCCAAAGAGGACTCTTGTGGATAAGCAGAGTTTCGTTTCCAGCGGGAGTTTGTTCTTTATTAGAATCTCATACACAATAGTATCTTAGAAATAAGATGTGTTCTTATCTAACCTGAGTCAGGATCTAGTGTTGGGAGGTTTTGATTTGCCACCACTATTTACGGAAGCAGTCCAGCTGGCAGGTCCAGGGGCCCCCAGCAGTACTTTGAGTCACTTTTCCTCTCTTGGTTGCTTGCTCAAAGCTAGAGTGGCCTGCGATTATTTGGAACGGCTTGTCAACAGCAGGTTTCTAAATTCATCTGATGACTAGCTTGTATCAAGGAATCATTTCTCATTCTTCCTTCTTTGGGTCAGAGTTCTCTTAGTACAAGGCAGGAACAGGTGGGTAGCAGTAAGAAAGCAAACACTCTGCAGCTTCCCGCTCAGTGGCTCAGTCTCCTGTTGAAGTGACCGTCCTGTGGGAAACGCCACTGAGGCTCCACGGGAGCCTCTGCCTGTCGCAGCACCCGCAGCCGGTGCCACCGCTCCAGGCACGTCACCACCAGAGGGTCTGTTGAGTTGAACGTGTTGGCAAACAAAGAAGGCGACCGAATGATCCACGGCAGGTCTCCTGGTCCATACATGCAGCTCTCGCGGACGTAGCGGCCTGCAGAAAGAAGCACAAAAACCGAGCTGCCTTTGTGTCGTCCGTTTACATTCACACACAAAAAGGGACACTTTTCCAGGATCATCTGTAAAGGCCCCTGCTTCCCAGGAGCTCAGACCGACCATGATTTCCCAGATCGCTCTGACCGGGGCTTCTGTGTTGGATTTTGAATCCGTGGGGACAGGGTTGTTTTCGTTTCTTCTGTCAGTATCTCTGGCATGTTTAATGGCTACTTTAAGGGAATGCTGTGGAATGTTCGTTATTAGTGAACACACGAGAGAGGTGTAATAGCACTCATTTGCCTGGCCCACTCTAAATTCTGTTAGGTTCCACGAACTTTGTTTTCCTTGGTTGTGGGTAGTTCACAAGAATTGCATCAGTGGTAACAGGTCCTTGCTGCAGTCGGTTCTTGCTCCTGCAGAGTGAGTGTGTGGTACAAATGGAAGGAATTAAAGTTGGAATGATAGTTAGAATCCAGTGCTGAATTCCTTCGAGATGAGCTCAGTAGCATGTTTCATGTGCCTGACGCTGTGCTTGGCGCTTCCTTCTCTGTCACCCTCCCACCAACACCCTGAGGTGACTCCATTACCACCTTCGGTTCCCAGAGAAGCGAGCGCTCCGTTTGCATGTGAGGGAACGGTCTCCCCATCTTGGAGACCTTGCTCTGTGCCCAGCTCTGCCCTCCTTTCTCTCCACACCAACCCAGTCATCCTACTTTTAAAAACCTGAGGGAAATAGAGGAAAGGGGCGGAACTCCATGCACAGAATCATCCAGTGTTGTTGGTGAGCCTGGAAAAAGGTGGAAAGAACGTTCCCCTGGTGAGCAGGCGCTCATCCGGTAAAGGGCCAAGCAGCTCTCGCAGGGTGAGCGCTCTAAGCCGCAACTGTTGTCATGACTGAGATCTTTCTGGTAGGTATTCTTGGTACAGTGTCACGGAGTATCAGTAGAATTACATTTCACCAGTTGAAAAGTCTGAATATGAAGACAGGCAGTCTGAAAAACTTAGGACAGAGTGAAAAGATTTTCAGCTGCACCTTGATTGTAACTGGATAATTCTGTTATTTGCACACACATGAGTTTGAGCCGGAAGGGAACACAAGCGAATGGAAAGTCCTCAGAGTCGGGCTCGTGCTGTTTTGGTGATTACAAATAACAACAGGGTAACTCTGCCTCTTTGTGTCAGCTCATCCAGTGGAGGGGCCCCAGGCAGCAGCTCCTGGTTTGAGACCCGGCTCTGCCACTTCCTGTGACATGGGGAGTGACCTCACTTCTCAGAGCCTGGGCTTCTTTCTCTGTAAAGTGTGACCATGGTAGTTAACAGCTGGGAGTCATTGTGAGGATGGACTGCAGGCCCAGAGCCGGGCTCTGGAAGGGGGGCAGGGTCTGCCACACTCACCCGCCAGTGCTCGGCCTGAGGTAGGGGCCACATCGCTGCTTTACTATGGACGGTTTGCACACTAAAGTGAGCAATGGCAAGAACTTTCTGAAGTGTTTACTTTGGGGCAATGATGATTTTTGTTAAGATTCACAGTAATTGGGCTTTTTGACAAACATTGAAATATTCAGGTTGTCACTCTAAGAATTCTAAATCATTATTATTGATAGCAACAGCCCTTCTTGACTTCTTATACTGTGAATGATCATGTTTTCAGGAGGAATCTGAGCCCCCGGCCCCCACCCCTACCCGAGCATTTATTTACCAGTCTTGTCAACCCTAGTGTGTAATGGCAACAAGCACCTGCTTTCTAAAGAAAGGTCAGGGTTGCTCCTTAGCCTGTTGTTTGACTGTCACCTTCTTACTGTGTGAGCTCCCTAATTGAATCCTGGCTAAAATATTTATTAAAAACATGTAGAAAATTCTTCTAGCCCTTCCGGACCTGGTACCTGTCAGAGGAGGGTGGCTGCGTACATGGCAGCAGGAATTGCTCGTCTTTGAATTACTGTGATGTTAGGTTTTACACTTTTCATTTGTCTGCAACCTGCTGCTTTTTGGTCAGTCTTTTAAACAGCTTGAAAACTGGGTGAGCCCGGTGGCTAGCTGGTCTACTGTCACTCAAGCCCGGGGACCACACCCAAATGCACAGTAAGAAGAGGTGGTTGTATGTGGTGGTCCCTCCTGCGTGGCTGGGAAGGCCAGATCCCCTCGGACAGAGGATGCTCTACCCTGGCCACCTGCATGCACGTCTGCCCCACTCTTCCTGCCTTCTCTGTCCCACATGGTTGGCGGCCCCATAAAGGTTGGACACCTCGTTTTCCTTTCCAGGCGGGCTCCCAGAGCGCTTGCACCTCTCCCCACTGGACTTGTGGACGTGGCGCTGTGACCGTTGGCCTCCGTCTTCTCCGCAAGACTGTGTGCTCCTCTCAGGCAGCCGCCCTACCCCGGGCTTTAGGGGGGTCAGGGAGAGCCAGCGCCCGGAGAGTAGGCCTGAACAACGCGACAGGAGCCCGGTTCCGGTCCTCCCAGTCCCTAGGCATCTCCCCCCCAGACTGTGATGCCTGAGAACCTGCTGTCAGCCAGTGCTTTTCTAGCCTGTCCACCAAAGAGGGACACTGCCGTCCCCACCCCAGGTCTGTCTTTTCTCTGTTGTCCTGGGAACTAAAACCTCTGGGACACCAGACAAGAATTCACAGCTCCCGGGGAGAGTCTCCTGAGGGCAGAAAGTGAAAAGACCTTCCTTCAGCAAGAACTACTTAAGAACCCGCTCTGGAGCATACACCTGTGTTACTCCCTCGTCTATTCTAGTAGAGACACAGGGGGACCCAGAGCTTTTTTAAATAAATGTTCAGTTTGAATTCTAGGAGCAGGTGGAAGAAACCAGCTAGCTTGTGTATCGTTTAAAGTTGCAGCCCGGTTTAGTGTTCACTTTGTGAAAATGCATCAACCCAGATACTTACGATTTGTGCGCTTTGCTTGCTAGGTATTATAATTACATAAGAAGTTTTTAAAAAACTGACCCCATGGAATTGGAACCTCACTCATCCCCTCACTACTTCTGCTAACGGTCGTCTGTGTCTCCCGACCTTACCCCGGCAGCAGTTGTCAAGTTTGCCTACGACGGGAAGGCTTGCTTTTAGGTTTGGTTTGATTTTTACCTTTACATCCATCGTGAACACTTCCCTCCTCGTGTCTCCACTTCACAGCGTGAACATTTCCTTCCCAGCCGGCCTCCGGTGTGGCTCCCGGGGCGTCTGCGGGGGAAGCAGACCAGGCATTGCAGCGCAGGCAGCTCCTCAGCCCTTGGCTACCACTTCTGCGCCGGCCCTCCCCCTTCCTGCACAAGCAGGAGTCCAGGGGTGGGGGTCCAGCCTCACTCCCAAGTGTTCGGCTGTGGTCTGATGAGGGGTTAACACTTTGGGGGCAGCTGGGGAGCACCACACTGGCCTCGCGTCCCAGCGCTGTGCTTCGCTTTCATCCCTTTCTCCATCCCCAGTAACTCACCGAACGCGTACAACGCACCCTTGGCCTGACGATGTTGGGTCTCTTGGGATTGTGCTTTCCCCATGATAGCCCTCTGAGGGGATTCGAAAATAGGATTTTCAGTGGATGTGAGAGATTATAATAAGATCCTAACCAGTTTCTACTGGATCCAGTGTTTGCACTGTCATCTGGACCGATTAGCTTAGCTGTTCGAACTTGAAGTCACATCCCCTACAGGAGCCACTCAGCTTTACGCAAAGAGAAAATAAGTCCACGTAAAGAAGGACATCAGCTCTCCCTCTGCCTCTCAGGGAACCTATCTGAGGTATCCTGTCTGCCACCCAAAAAATTACTACTTGTAATATTTTCTCTTCTTAAAGAGCCCCTAGCATAATGTCTGGCACTAGTAGGTACGTAGTAGTATTTAATGACTGAATGAAGAAGTTTCTGAAGATTTCTGCTCAGAGGCTGGTAGGACTTCCTTTCAGAGAGGGAACAAAAAAGCAACTGGGCTGGTTTGGGAACATGGGGCACCCTCAGCAAACTTCAGACCCCTAAAACCAGACCCTCCCATACTCCTCAAGTGAAAGGTCTTGCAAAATCCAGAGCTATTTACCGAGCCATAGTAAAGTAGTGAAATAGTGTTTTCACTCAAGAGTAAACTTCTGTTGCCTCTGATCTGAACAGACGCCACATTGCTGGATTGTTCTTACCTCTCAGTCGGTTCAGAGTCACCCAGTAATGTCGTTCCGGGCTCTGGATGTCCTTGGACCACCGAAGCATGTCTTTTGCGCGGCTGTCAGTTAGTACAAACTCTACAAACTTCCTCGTTAGGACATAGTAAGCGCTTCCAAAATAAATTGTTAAGTTATGGGGCGGTTCATCCTTGAATCTTTTGTTTGGAGATACGTAGATATTTCCTTCAGGGGTGGATTCCGGTTGACTTTCACTTGTCTTGGAGTTCATGTTTGGTGGTTGGACTACTCCAGGAGTGATGTTTTTGTCATTCCATTTGCTTCTGATGTAGCGTATGATTTCTTTGTTGGTTTTTATTGGAAAATCCTGTCCGCAAAGGTTAATGACGTAGTTCCATTGAAATTTGGAATGGACCAGGTCTTTCATACAATTAATATCTGCCTGGAGTCTTGTGAAGCCAGTGTAAGCCACTCTTGCTCTCTTTGATGAAATAAAAATATTTTCAAAACAGTTAACCAGGGTTTGCATAGCAGTCTTGTACTTCTTCGGGGCCTTTTCATCAACATGAATACAGTAAACGTTTTGAGGCACATAAATAGCTCTGAGAAGCTGCACAAACATTGCCAGCTCCTTGTGAATTGTTATAATATATGCCAAAGAGAAATTGCTCTCTTCTGCAGACAAGGGTCTGGTTATGAAATGCAACTCCTGGGAAATCCTAGAGCAATTTCCTGGTGTGCGTAAATGAGCAAGAATTTGAGAACCATGAGGGTTTTTGCAAAATTTTGCAATTTGGAGGGCGGCCCCTTTCCCTTCAAATAAAGCTGAACACAGTTCGTCCGGATAAAAGCCACATTCCACTACTGCTGGGTAGGTGGGTTCTTCCTCTGCTTCCTGAGGGGTTGGAGTCAGTAAATACAGAAAAACGAAGATGCATATGCCTGCACACAGGAGGAGCCCGGGCTTCGTGGCTCGCAGCTGGCTCATGTTTCAGGCTCCAAGGGCCTTCTCATCACTATGGTGTGAAATGTTTTCCTTTAAGCTTCCTAAGAGAACAAGAGGGAGAATTTAGGGTGCGGCAGCCCTCCCCCAACCTGCAACGTGACTGAAGTGCACATTTTTTTTTTTTTTTTTTAAGATTTTATTTTTTAGAGAGCGAGCGAGAGAGAAACAGCATGAGAGGGGAGAGGGTCAGAGGGAGAATTAGGCTCCCCGCTGAGCCAGGAGCCCGATGTGGGACTCGATCCCAGGACCCTGGGATCATGACCTGAGCCGAAGGCAGACACTTAACCATCTGAGCCACCCAGGCTCCCTGAAGTGCACATATTTAAGGTATATAACACGCTCAGTTTTTCTATACCTACACGCCTGCAAAACCATCACCACGTCACCATGACAAGCATTCCCTTCACCCCTAAAAGTTTCCTCGGGCCCCTTTTACTCCACCCTTCTCTGGCAAATCCATCAGTGGATTTGCTGGCATGTTCTGTAACTTTATATAAATGGAGTCCTACACTGTGTGCTTTTTGCTTGGCTTGTTTCACTTAGGATACTGATTTTGAGATTCCACCCACATCATTGCATTTATCACCGTCCTTGCCTTTTTACTGCTGAGCAGGATTCCATTGCGTGGGCATGCCACAGCTTCTCTGTTCATCTGTTGTGGACATTGAAATTGTTTCCAGTTTTAGGATATTACTAGATGCTATAAGCATTCACGCACAAGTCTTTGGCCCTTTGTTTTTGTTTTTGTATTTCAGCGGCTTTATTGAAAAGTATAGCCCTCAGCACCAAAACATATGGTAGTTGGTTAGGTGACCTCTGCCGACTCAGAATTAAGACTGATGTATTCAAATTATTAAAATATATATCAGCCTTTGGGAAAACTGAAAAGTTATCCACAAATCACCTTTACAAAAGTAAAAGATACACTGTGGGTTTGTGGTTTATTTTCCAGTGCTTATTTATCCATAACATGATGTCAGAATTGGGCACAGCCATCCTGGATGGACTCAAGCTGCACATTGCACTGAGTAGCCATTTGCAATACTTGTGATGCTGGAGATCTCCTTCCATTCCCTGACGTAATAGAAAATCTTGATGACTTACTTCAGCAAGCTCATAATCATGACGTTTGCGTACTTAAGACTTTGTTTTGGGGGCGCCTGGGTGGCTCAGCTAGGCTTGTGGTCAAAGGAAGAGAGTTAAGCGTCTGCCTTTGGCTCAGGTCATGATCCCAGGGTCCTGGGATCAAGCCCCGCGTCAGGCTCCCCGCTCTGTGGGAAGCCTGCTTCTCCCTCTCCTGCTCCCCCTGCTTGTGTTCCCTCTCTGGCTGTCTCTCTCTCTCTGTCAAATAAATAAAAATAAAATCTCAAAAAAAAAAAAAAAAAAGATTTTGTTTTGGCACAGTGGGGGCAGTTAGTGAAAGTATATTCTCTTCCTTTTAAACACAATTCCAAATTAGGAGCAATGGCAGTTTTATTAAAACAGCCCTTAGTGTAAAAACTTCTGGAATGTTAAGTCAGCAGGTTTCCAGGGTGGTGGTAATAGGACCTGTGTTTTTGTTTCTCTGGGTTAAATACCTAACAGTGAAACTGCCCGCTCTTTCCCAAAGTGGTTGTGCCATTTTGCCTTCCCCACAGTGGTGTAGGAGAGTTCCAGTCACTTTATAGCGTCATCAACACCTGGTGTGATCAGATGCATTATTTTAACCATTCTGATAGGTGTGTGGTGGTGATTCATTGTGGTTTTACTTTGCACTTCCCTGATGTTTAATGATGTTGAGCATATTTTCATGTGTTACTGCCCTTAGCTTGGCAGGTTTAAAAAAAATCTTAAATATTTATTTTGGACATAGATACTGTCCTGTTCTGCATCATTCAGAGTTCATTTTATGCTGTTATTCTGTATCATGTTACAACTCTTTCCAGTAAATGAAGCAACAAATCAAGAGAAGTTTTGTGATGGCAGAATTTGACTTGTTGACATGAGTTTATGATTATTTTTAAAGAAGGGTTCAGTGATTAAAAATAAGATATCTTTATCTAATGAAATTATTTGATAATAATTGAGTTGCCTTTTGGAACCCTACAGAAATGCCCAAATAGGTTTAGCAGGAACAGAGGTGACCAGAAGCATTTTGATTCATTATTAATGCACGAAGGCATCATCACCTTTGAAATTTAGGAAGAAGACCGATCATCAGGCAAAACATCTGTGTGTTAGTAATTACTTTGTTCCCGGTTTCAATAAAAAGTCCTATCATTGCCTGTTTAAAAAGCCCATTTGCTTCTGAGCAGTGTTCTAGCTCACACTGACATTAGTCCCTTGCCCTTCTGCGTCATTATTACAGATGCCATGTGGATGAAGCATGGACGAGGCAGCCTTTTGAGCTCCCCTTGTGTTCTTAAACTGTGAACCAGTAAAAGCTGTGAACGCTGATTGTGGGTTGTGAATTTAAAAAATATATTTATTTTCCTTGTATAGTTCCTTTTTACCCATCCCGCTTCAAAAATAAAAAGCAGTCACTGCCCAAATATGCCAAGTTACAGTGTTCTATGCCAGGTCAGTAAACGCTTGTGGATGGCCCCAAACATGAAACATAATGGCATAATTTTAAAGACATTTTTATACTTTTTATACATTTATATATATATACTTTTATATGTATATATACTTTTATAGTTTTTATAAACACAAAAACTCACTGTAATGAACGCATTTCGTATCTGGTCTGTAAAATAAAACCTAGAAATTCAGCAGGAAGGAAATACCTTCTTGAAATTAAAATAAAGCTTTTTTAACTACTCGCACAGATTTGGGTTAAAGGGCAGCCATGTGCCATAGTTTGTCGCATTGTGTTACAGCTGTAGTATGGGGAGGAGGTTTTGGAGGTTTGGTTTGTCATCTTTGTCATCTTTGGTTTTGTTTCTAGGCTCGTGGTCAAAGGAAGAGAGTCTGGTTTCATCACAGAACGGTTGTTAGCCCCACTTTGCTGACAGACCACACCCCATGTAAACTGTGGCTCTGCCACAGGGAATTGGATCTTTTCAGTAGTTTGTAATAATTACAGGAGGACAAGCCCCGTGTGTAATCCGTTGTCCTTCAGGGTAATACCTGGGCTAAGTGTTTTCCCTCCCTTCTGTAGAGACAGGCGTGTGAGCTGGGCTGTGCTCATCTGCTGCCTTTCTGCCTCCGGTTCTGGCCGCGCAGCGCTCACGGCTGCCTGGGTCACCTTCCTTCCAGCTCGGGTTCCCTCTGTGATGGAGAAGGAGGTGTGCCCTCGAATGGGTCACCAGCGGTTGAGCTTCGCTGTCATCGCGTCAACACAGGCTCTTTGAGGCAGGCAGGCCCCCGGGGGCGCGGGCGGTCGTAGCTCTTGCTGTTGTAGCAACACAGCAGCTGGTGGGCGCTGGGCCCGTCCCGTGGGCACCACGTCTTCGGGGCTGGCCAGTCGGTCCTCTAAATGGGGGGGCCTGCGCCACTTTCAGCTTTGCAAACATTCCCTAGCCTTGATTCTTGGTGACTGGTTGTGGTTTTGTCTATAATGTAAACGTGACTTGTGTTGCCATCATGGAAATGTAATTATTAAACAGGTGACTTTTCTATCACTGAACTAATTTCCAAGGCATGTAAGTGGTATTTTTCAAGTGTGGGGAATACGCAGCTCATTAAGAAGTGTGGTCTGACTGATTTTTAGACCCTTTTTTCTCTCATAAAAACTGTATTTAAAATATTTACTTTAAAGGCCTTAGAAAGGGGCACCTGGGTGGCTCAGTCAGTTGAGCATCTGCCTTCGGCTCAGGTCATGATCCCAGGGGCCTGGGATCGAGCCCTCCATCGGGCTCTGCTCCAGGGGGAACCTGCTTCTCCCTCTCCCTCTGCCTGCCTCTCCCCCTGCTTGTCCTCTCTCTCTCTCTGTCAAATAAATAAAAATCTTAAAAAAATAAAATAAAATCTCAAACTTGAAAATATTCCACTTTTATTTTCTTTGGCTGAAACAAAAACCAGAGAGCTGGTTTTGAGAGAAAAAGATGACTGCTCTATCTGCACTGAACAATATTACTGATCTTCCAGTTTCTGTTTTAAAACTATAAAGGAGGCAAAGAAAAACATTTTATTTTAATAATTGTACCTGCTCAGCCTCTGCCATTCACCAGAAGCTGCTCCTCAGATTCCGAGGGGCGGAATGCTGGCGGCGTCCGTGCCCGGCCTGGTTCTTCTCCCCAATCAGTGCTTCTCTTCCCGTGGCTTCTGCTTAAATCACATGAACAGAGTTGTTTGGCAGGTTTTGTTACCCTTTCATCCCTGGAGGATTTTATTCTTGTTGGTTTTGACCTGTAGATTGAAAAGTAGTGGCTGCTTCTCTGAGCATTTCTCCAGGACCAGATCACTGCCTTATAAAACACAACGAGTCAGCAGCCTGGCCCAGATGAAGGGCAGCAGAGTGGTCTGGTGTTCTGAAGCCTGGATGAGATCCTGGCAGTTGAGGGGCAAATTCTATAAATGCTTTTAAAAATTGGAGGCCAGATGTGGTTATCTGACCCTTTTTTATTAAAGGGATAAATAATAAAAGTCCTTTAAAAATTTTGTTTTCTTCCTAAATGGCATTTGGAACAATCCAAGCGTTTCAGCACGGCTCTCCAGAGGGCCCCAGTTCAGGGACGCAGGGGAGCTGTGCCCGGCCTGGTGCTTGGCGGCTCCACCAGGGGCGGGGCTGGGCCAGGGCACATGGCTGAGGGGGCCTCTGCCTCACCGGCAGCGACTCTGCCCTTCTGTTGTTCTCCGCTGCTGGATACTTGTCCTCTTCCCTTCTTTCCCGTCTCTGGTTTCAAAGCTTTCCTTACTTGCTGTCTCATTGGGTTTCCCCCAGACAGACCTAAGAATAATGGAGCCGAGAGACAGGAGTCACATGCTGTGGAGAATTCTCCTTTTGCAGGTATCCAGGCACCTGAGCTTGACATTTAGTCAGATGAGTGCAGATTCGCTTCACCTGCTCGCAGGTGACTCGAGATGCCTGTTGCTCTTCTGCGGAACAGATGGCGCTGTGGCCATAGAAAGATTTCTTAATCGGGCGGATAGAGTCGAGTCTCTCTAAGCTCATGGGGTTGAGGCATGGCTGTGTGTGGTATGTGTACTTTTTATACAGAAACAGATTTGTGCTGCCTCTCAGTGGTGGTGAGACCTTGTATATGCTTGTAGGGACATCCTCAGATGCCAGGATTGAGGTTTCTTGGGCAAGAATCAGGAAAGGAAAGGCCACCGGCTGCTGGTGAAGTCTTGGCTGCAGCTGTGGCCCCTGTACCTTGAGTGCCTGTTGGAAAGGTCAGCCTGTGGGTGCTCGTGAACTGGGCCCTTCATAGTGGCCCGTCCCGAGGGGATAAAGATTGGTGCTGGATTTCACTTGGGACCTCACATCCTAAACCTGGAAAGAGGAAGATTCTCTTAAGCAAAAAGCAGTGGAAGAAACAGCTGAGAACATAGAGTGGCCTGCATACAGCTTTACGCTTCCATAGCTCGAAGGGAAGTACAGAATAAAACCAAACACAGGGGAGGAATTATTGTGATAAGTGGATCAAAGGTCAATAGGCTTAATGTATCAATTTCTTATACAGACTGGTTAAATAAAGTAAAAAATTTTTGAATGAAGATCCTAATAAATAGGGGCGCCTGGGTGGCTCAGTCAGTTAAGCGTCTGCCTTTGACTCAGGTCAGGATCTCGGGGTCCTGGGATTGAGCCCGGGATGCGGCTCCCTGCTCAGCAGGGAGTCTGCTTCTTCCTCCCACCCCCCCACCCCGCCGGCGCATGCTCGCTCTCACTCTCTCTCAAATAAACTCTTTAAAAAGATCCTAATAAATAAAGTGGACCTACAGCATATACACATAATCTGCGAGAGAGGCAGTAGGAATGCAGTGGGGATTTTTGTTTCTTTTTTTTTTTTTTAAGATTTTATTTATTTTTTAGAGAGCAAGCGAGAGGGAAACAGCATGAGAGGGGAGAGGGTCAGAGGGAGAAGCAGGCTCCCCGCTGAGCCGGGAGCCCGGTGTGGGACTCGATCCCAGGACCCTGGGATCATGACCTGAGCCGAAAGCAGACGCTTAACCATCTGAGCCACCCAGGCACCCGGGATTTTTGTTTCTTAATTGAAGCCAAAAAGGAGCCACCTTCTTTTACCTTTCAGATCAGTGTGTTTTTGTTCCTTCAAATTATATGGTGTGATAGGCACTCTTACACGTGGTAGGGAGTGTAAAGTTCATACGACCTTTCAGGGGAACTATTTGGCTTTAAAGTATTATTCCCTTTCATCCTGGTTTGAAGTATTTCTCCGGGCTGTGTTTTCATTCATGCACGCGGCAACTAGTTCCCGGGTGCCCACTGTGTGCAGGGCCCTGGGCTTACCCCTGGGCCACAGCCGAGTCGGATAACGGCCAGTCTGTCCCTCTTGGAGCTTACGGTATGACAGAGGGAAACACTGTTTTGAAAGTCAGTACGCACATACAGGCACACGTTCATTTACTGTGTGTCACAGAGTACTACACGGGAAACAGGCTTCGGTGGCGGAGAATAAACGAGTCCCACAAGGGGGATTTTGCGGTCTGAGATGCATGCCGGTGTTTGTTGCAAATATTATTTGTAAGAACAGTGATTGAGAAACCACTTTTCCAATTGTTCGTGATCCAGATCTGCAGATAGAGTAGCATGTTATCGTAATTCTACCCGTTCCCTCGGCACTTTCCTGCTGGCTTTTTTTTTTCCTACTGCTTTAAAAAAAAAAAAAAAAAATGAATATCCAGAGATCAGGGATATGTAATTTGTAGTCGTGTTCTTTTAGCTTAATAGACACTTTCTACGTTGTCAGAAACTCTGAAATAACTCTCTGCCCTTCCTTTTTAAGAATGTGCTGTGATTTATTTTCTCCATTTTGGGGACATCTAAGTTATAAGTGATAAAAGGAGGCTAATTTAAAATAAAGACATGATTTCACCTGTGCAGTAACTGTACACATGGAAAAATGTGTTTGCAGGAAAATATGGGTGTTTTTCGCTTATGATATGTGTTACTTTATAAGCAGAGAGGGTCCGGCCCTTTGGGTCGGCTGTGTCTCTGCCACAGCCCTCCCCTCACTTTCGAAAGTAACCCTCCCTCAACCCTTCAGTACGTAGAGAAGAGCCCCAGCCTGGCCACTGGCACCGTGGATGGAAATCTGCTTCCTGCTCTGGCTTCACATGCTCCCAACGGATGGGTCCCTCACCCAAGTTCCGGGGGTCAGGCAGCAGCCTGCCAGGGTCAGGCACACACCAGGAGCGTGACAGGGCCTGCCGCCAGTGGGAGGGTCGTGCCCAGGCTCTAGGGGGCAGCCCTTCTCAGGTCCCAGCAACTGAGGCCTTGAGAGTGTGGGTTTAGTATTAATGGATCTTTTGAATTTGGGGGAGAAAGCAAGATATCTCAATTTTTAGCATGAGAGGTTCCCGACTTTTTATGCTTAGTGGCTAATTCAACTTTAAAAATATAACTCTGGGCACAGCACACCATAACTGTGGGTAGAATGGGGTCCACAGCCCTATCTAGACAACTAAACAGTCACATGTAGAGGAGAGAGACTGTTGACCGCCGACACTCCAGGAAAGGGGGTGCCAGGGACTGGTGGAAATCAGCCGCAGAAAGCCCGGAGTGGGGAAGGAGGAGGGGGCAGACTAATGGAACAAATGGAGACTCCTTTCTACCTCTTGGTTCTGTGCTTGGGAGGGTTATTGACGCCATAGCCCCAGCCCCACTGGGCCGTATCTTCCACCTGATTCTGTTCCTGCGGATCCTTTTTCATTCCCTACTCAAGAAGGAGATCCCCAAGGGATGACTAGCCAAATCTCCCACAGCGTGGGACTTCCCAGGAGGCCTCCTCCTGCAGAGCCTGGAGGCCTCCCTGCAGTGATGGCAAAAAACAAGCTCCTTTTCTTTGAAGGCAGTCCCGGCGAGGTGCCGTAACAGCCCCCCTTCTGTTGTTCATAGGGCTTCTCTGTGGCCCTGATCTCAGGATGTGTGGGCCAAAGGTGGGGGCGGGGGGGTCTCTTCAGTTGTGACATCTTACCAGATCCCTCCTAGGAAAGGAGGTGCCTTGGGCCTGTGCTGTGGGTTTTGGAGGTGAGAACCACAGTAAATAACTGAGCTAAGGCAGTGCCTGGGGGGTCAGCACATGTCCACTGGCTCTCCTGTGTGTTGGGAGGTGCTGGGAAAAGCTCGGCAGCTTTTTAAGAAGAGCACTTCAATGTCTTGTGCTGAGAATGTGTTGTAGAAAAGAGATTCTGGGTACATTGGGTCTGTGGCTGTTCCTGTTCCGGGCGTGGTAGGCTCTCGAGGCCTCACTGGGGTCAGCACGTGATTGTGCTCACGGCTCATGTTTATCCCAGCAGGCTGGTAAGGCTGCGTGCCTGAGGGTCAGGGACAGAGACCCAGGCGGTGTCAGCAGGAATCCGTGCACTCTCCCTCCATGAAGGGGCACAGAGGCCCACTTTCCCCAGCAAGACACATACAGCCATGTGCGTGTGAGGTTTCTCCCAGGGAAGCTAGTCAGAAACACAGAGATGTGTCCTGGAGATGGTTTGTGTCGGGACAGGCCGCTGTCTTCCAGGAAAGCGCAGACCCGCAGCTGTAGCCCACAGTGGTTGACTGTTGGCTGCCCATCCCTGTGGTACGCTCCCGACGCCGGTGCCCTGAATTCTGGCCTCATCCTCGACCGCGCTGGGAGTTCGGTTTACTTCCCATTTAACAGGTGCGGTCACTGAGGCTGAGAGTGACCAGCGGGGTGGGCCCGCCAGGCGGGCCTTTGAAAATGCAAGACCCCCCCCCCCCCACCTCTCGTGGGAACGACAATGGGCAGCGGCCCAGGAGAGAGCTGAAGTGCAGCCTCTGCCTCCAGACAGGTCCTTCTGCTCTCCTGCTGGGATGGAACCCGGTTCCCCCAGTTGGCCATCTTCCCGGACACTGGAGCAGGGGTTCTCAAAGCAGGGATCCCCCCCAGGCAGCGTCTGCAACACCTGAGAACAAGGGAGAAATGCAGGTGACAGGGCCCCACCCTGGGGCTCCCGAATTGGCCAGCGGCTGAGGGTCCCCTCGCTCCCGGAGACCCTGACGCCAGGTCGGGCTGGCCAGCGTGGGCCCCGTCTGGGACAGAAGCTCCGCGGGCTTCTTCCCTTTCAGCCCGGGGCCAGTGGTGTGCGGCGGGCACAGCCCGGGCTCTTGTGAAGTGAGTCCTGAGACGAGCCAGCAGTGAGTGCTGAATAGATACTGCCGGTCCCTGCCGCAGACTTCTCCCGAACGCCCACCAGCGGCCAGCGGCTCTGCACCGCCCTTCCCGCGCACACCTGGGGGTCGGGGCCGCGGCGCACACCTGGATGGAAAGCCGCCCGACGCGGTTAGGAAATGGTGGGCGCCCTCCAGGTTCGCAGACACCAGTGTGGGGCTGGCCTTGCAGAGCCAGGCCCTTTCAGAGCCCTCTCGGGCCTGCCACGCTGAGTCCGGACACAGAACTTGCCAAAGCAGGGCTCACACTCAGAAGCTGGCTAAGCCGAGGTACAGGCAGGAAGTTCCCGAGGGTTCGCAGAGCAGTGGTTGGGCTCCGGAGCGTCTGGGGGGAAGCTGAGCTGCCCACCGCGTGGTGATGGAGTCTCCTCTGTGTTCTGCCCCCTCCAGTGTGGGGCTTCTTTCCAGGAGGACGACGTCATCGTGCTCAACGGCACCAAGGAGGACGTGGAAGCGCTGAAGAGGAGGATGGAGGAGAGGAGGCTGAGGGCGAAGCTGGGGAAGGTAACAGAGCCCTGGGGTCCACCCCCCCCGAGTCTTCAGGTGCTGCCAGCTGCCTCTGCCGTGGGGCCAGTGGCAAACCCCCGAACTGCCCTGCTTTTGGGCGTGCAGTGGTTGAGGCGCTTTTACAACCTTGAAGGGCCTGGGCTCACTGTGTGGGGCACAGCGGTTCTGCCCTCCTTCACTCAGCTGCTTCATCCGTGACGTGGGGCTGGCGACAGCACCTGCATGGGGCGGGCATGCTCAGGAGGGTCACCAAGCTCGTGCCCGCTTGCAGCCCAGGGCGGGGGGGCAGCCACCACCTCTGGGCTGTGCTGACTTTACGTCCTGGGTGTATAAAACTTGTACAGTAGAAGTGAACAGCACATCTGGAGAGCCTGTGCTGCCCAGGTCTGAATGTCCTGGGGAGTCCCCTGGAGATCTGCGGGGGCCTGGGAGCCTGCGATCCCCACCCACCGCTGAGGCACCTCAGGTAGTGAGGGGCTGAGCAGCCTCCCCGTGACTGGGAGCCGCCCCCAGCCTTCCTGAGCCCTGGCCGGGGCCTCTAGGTGTGAGGGCTGCCTCGGCTCTCCGGAAGGGAGGCCAGTGCCGCAGACCCCCGGCTGCGACCAAAGCTCTGCGTGGACTCAGGACGGGAAGGCTTTGTTTTGTGGCCCTGGGTCTAGATCCCACTCCATAAGCAGTGGATTCATTGCCTCCTGTTTTGGCATAATGACCAGGCTCAAAACAGTTTTATCAGCTAAGAAGTCGTTCTGTGTGCCATACATTCTGGATCCAGCAGCAAATTTCATTATTTCTTAAGTATTTACAGACGATCCCTATGATCTTTTGTGACAGCAAGTTTTTCATTCTTTAAAAAAAAAATAAGTTATAGGGCGCCTGGGTGGCTCAGTCATTAAGCATCTGCCTTCAGCTCAGGTCATGGTCCCAGGGTCCTGGGATCGAGCCCCGCATCGGGCTCCCTGCTCAGCAGGAAGCCTGCTTCTCCCTCTCCTATTCCCCCTGCTTGTGTTCCCTTTCTCTCTGTGTATCTCTCTGTCAAATAAATAAAATATTTTTAAAAAAAGAGGGGCACCTGGCTGGCTCAGTCCGTAGAGCACGTGACTCTAGATCTCAGGGTTGTGAGCTCCAGCCCCACGTTGGGTGTAGAGATTGTTAAAAATAATAAATTTTAAAAATTAATCATAATTTTAATTTATAAAATTAAAAATTAGCAAAAAAGTTTAGGTTCAGGCTAAATGTGGGAGAAATTCTGTGTTCAGAACTAAGTCAGAGGAATGATTGAAGTAGTAGAAAATGCGTTTCAGTGTCCTGAAGACATAAAGTTGTGGGGGAAAATAGCCTCCCTCTGTGTGGCATGCATTTATGATGTAATAATTAAAGATTTTTCAGAGTTGTGTTTTTTCTTTAATCATCATAGAGGAAAGAGCAGGACCCTATCCCCCTGGAATGTAAGTGCACTCATTCTCTGTTCATTTTCTAAATGTGATTTTGTTATCATATGAGCAAAAAAGAAGAAAGCTTGAGATGTTTTTGACAGTTATCAAAAAGGATCGGCTTGTTCTTCTTTGCTGTCATTGATCAAGTTGTTTTTAAAAAGCACGAAAAGGGAAAAAATCTGTTTCTGAGGAAGCTCCTGGTGTTTGTATGGTCATTAACGGCGCCCCTGTGGTGAGTTGTCTCCGGTCCCAGAGTTCCTGCCAAGGTGTTCACAGCCTAGCGGGGCCCGCACACCCCTCTCCGCAAAATGCTCCCTGCGGCTTCTGGGAATGCCTCTTAGATACTGCTACCAGGATACCAGAATATTTCCCAAAAACGCTCTCAGCCGAAGATAGGACATAGCATTTCCTCTCTAAGTTCTTGCTGCTCTTGCTTTTTATAGAATCTCAGCTATGAATGAAAGGCTTCAAAATCCCCAGTTGTCTTTTTTTGAGGACTAGGTATCATCCTCACGGATTTGAATATGTGCCTTGCATGTGTGAAACAAACAGGAAGTTTTTACATTGTGTACAAGCATTGTAGGTCACTCTGCGTGTCCGTATTACACGTTCAAGGCCAGTGCCTGAGGGAGGTCTGTTCCCCACGTGTTCCAGTGACGGCAGCCTTCCGAAATGATTAGGCCGCGTGTCTTTAGCGCCACCTTTGGGATAGTTAGGAAAGTGGCATGTTAAAGTCACCGAATAAACATCCTTCTGTTTGTGCTTTCTCTGACTGAATCCCTTCTGACACAGCTGTGAGATTTTAGAATGGTTAGTTTCATTTCTTAAATTTCTGCTGACCAGTGTAATTATTATGAGTGACAGAATTCTAGTGCTTAAAAATCCAGAGTTTAGGAGAATTGGCTGAAGTGTCCTTCAGCATAGTGTCAGGTCTTGTTTTATTTTTTCTTACTAACCTCTACACCCAACGTGGGGCTCAAACCTATGACGCCACGATCAGGAGCTGCACGCACTTCGACTGAGCCAGCCAGGTGTCCCTAGCCTCAAGTCTTTATAGTTAGTAAACTAACATCAGAGCAGTTTGACAACTCTGAACAAGAGTGACTGGACTGGGTTGGGTTCAGCACATTTTTTGCTGGCTGGACTGCAGGTGCCCACCTATACTTTGTTACTTGTTTAACAGCTCTGAAATCTGGTGTCTTCATTTAAGAGTTTTGAGGATGTGGTTTTTGGAATATAAATAGAGAACCAGGCAGATCTCTTCAGGTATATTTCTGACTGAGGCAGAAGTGTGTTAACTGGAAACACACACCAAGGGCCAGGGTTTAGGACTCCTGCGGTCTCAGAGTCTGCTCCAGAATGAGCACCTACCTTGTATGAACTGCATCGGCCTGTCGGCAGGGCTCCCGGGACAGCGGCAGCCACACTTAGACTGCAATAGAGTTCAAGCACGTCTCCAGTTTGCTCTTTCTTTTTACAGAAAGCAAAGAAACCCAAGGCGGCAGAGTCTGTCTCAAAGCCAGGTGTCAGTGAAGGTAAGGCACTAAAAGAGGTCCTTATTTTAGCAAAAATAAGGCTGTGGAGCTGTTTCTTTCAAAAGTTCATGCTTTTGCTTTGTTTTTTGTTTGGCTTACCTTTTTTTTTTTTTTTTAACAGAATCTCCAGGGCCATCAAAAATTAAGACAGGGAAGCCTGAAGAAACCAGCCTTGATTCTAGAGAGAAGAAAGCCAGCTCAGCTCCCAAAAGTGCAGGTGGGTCCTACTGAGGCAACAGGGAGCTCTTTAGAGGGCTGGTAAACCAGGTGGTGATATCACGGTTTTATCAGAGTGCATTCGAAAGCTGAGGCTCATCCTAAGTCATGTTTCTAAGTAGTTCATCGAGCTCTCTTGGAGGCTAAGAAACAGTCGCTCTACCCCAAAGCCTGGTTGAAGGAGTCTGGGCATAGATGGCTAATTGTTTTTTTACTGAGAGCGCATTTGGTGCCAAGATACCCAGGCTGCACAGGGAGCTGGACTCAGATTTACTGCAGAGACTGGTTAGTGTCTGAGGCTTGGGGCATTGGGCGGGAACGTCCCAGAGGGCTGTTTGACACATAGCCCAGAATTCAGTGCATTTCTCCTCACTACCCTTAACTCAAAGGAAAGATTGATTTCACAAAAAGGAAACACAAATTTATTATTAGGTAAAATAAGGTGTAACCTTGTGTTGTGAGTGGCACCCACAGTGGTTAATGGATTCCAGTCCCCACCCTACACGGAGTGGCCACCTGGCCTGGGGTAGGTGACCCGGCCTCCTGGTACTTCTGTTCCTGCCCCTGTGAGACAGGCTGATAGCACCCCTCATGAGGATGATCTGATCTCCAGCATTCACAGGGCTCGGACCAGAGTGGAGAATATAGCAAACAGTTACTGGTGTGGTTTTCAGTGATAGACTTAAATGTAGTAGCTTCATCTGTTTTTAGGAGTTGGCAGTTGAGAGGATGTACTTTGACATTTATCCCAAGAAAGGAAGAGGAAAATTCCTGCTGTTAACAGACTTTTTTTCCTTTTTAAGAATGTGAAATTTGGAGTGATCTGTAGGCCCAACCTTAAAGTATTTGGCTTCTCATTCTTCCAGCGGCAAATGGGAGCTCTTCTGGAAAAGTCGGGAAGCCTCTGTGTGGAACCACAAAGAGGTCCATTGCCGAAAGCGAAGAATCGGAAGCTTACAAGTCCCTCTTCACGACTCACAGCTCCGCCAAGCGCTCCAAGGAGGAGTCCGCCCACTGGGTCACCCACACGTCCTACTGTTTCTGAAGCCGCGCAGGCGCCGTCCGGTTTCCATGGGGCGGGTGGCGTGGGCGTTACTGCACCCTGTTCTCTGCTAGCTCCCCCTTTGCGCTGAGCTATAAAGTCCCCCCGAACCTCGGAGCTGGTGTGGTCGCTCGTGCTTGTGAGGCGCCTGGGTTCCCACGGTGACGTGCTGGCCCTGCCCGCCCCCTCCCGCAGGCTCGTGCCCTCCCCACGGCCCCGGAACATGCGTTGGCTGCACTTTTTATGCTTGAGATAAAGACTCCAGATTCCTTGGGGTGTGTGGTTGGCCCATTTTGCCTAAAATTCTAATGATTTTGCTGCCAACTGTGGAACAGGCCAAGCGAAATTGTACTTTAGAAAGTGAGCTTTACATGCACTCCGCCTGCATGTCTGTTTGCCGGCAGCCTCTGTGCCCTCTGAGCAGAGCTTGCCGGTCGAGTCTTTAGGGAGGGTCTTTCTTTTATCACTTTCAAGACGAGAGCCTTTTAGTTGGGCACCTGAGGGTTTGGTATAAAAATAAAGCAAGTCCGCCTTTTCTCTCATCTGTCTGTATTTTTCTCTCTTCCATAATGTTTTAGTAAGAAAACTACGGCCTCTCCATGGGTGGTGATCAGAGTGTTTCCACGAAGTGAGTTCCCTTCTCTCTCAGATGATGAAGGGAATTCTGTGTACAGTCGGTCTCTCTTACCTGTGCTGACATCAGGCATTGAAACGTCCCATGGGACGGCTGACTCAGAGCTGAGAATACCCCATGTCAGCACGGCTTCTGGAGACAGTCGTACTCCGGACGGGACTGGCTGGTTTCCATCAGCGCGCAGGAAACGGAGCCAGGGAGGGAGGCCGGAGGCCTGGGCGGGAGCACTGGGTCCCCATGTCCTGTCTCCGAGGGCTGGGAAGCTCGGCCCCTAGGTGTCTCTGTTTTGAACAGAGAAGCATTTTAATCAGAATTCTATTCACCTCAGTCAATTTTTGTTGTGGACTTTTCCAGAACAAAGCTGAATTGCCCATTTTCTTTTCCTGAACATTTTTTTAATTTTAATTTTATTTTTTTAAGATTTTATTTTTTTGAGAGAGAGCATGAGCAGGTGGAGAGGCAGATGGAGAGGGAGAAGCAGGCTCCCCGCTGAGCAGGGAGCCCGATGTGGGGCTTGATCTCAGGACCCCAGGATCATGACCTGAGCTGAAGGCAGATGCTTAACTGCCACCCAGGCGTCCCTCCTTACCCATTTCCTATATAGCCCTGTTAAACCATTTCCTAGTTGTTGCATCTTTTATATCAACAGCCATTATTTCTGCCAACTTCGACTTCCCTAATTTTAGCCTTAATTTTATTCTGCAGTGATTATTTTGACTGTCTCCAGTTTTTCCCTGTGACCCGTCACAGGGTCCCCAGCCTTAAAACTTGAGCAGTTCAGCCCGCCTGCTTCCCCTCAAGGTCACCTCCAACTCTGCCTGTCACCCCCTCCCCACCCGCCCCCTTCCAGCAGCCAGGCCAGAGCCTCAGCCCCTCAGCCCCAGCTTCTGGCCTCTGCCTACGCCTTCCCTGCCCAGAGCCGCGCCGCCCCCGGAGGAGAGCGTGCTGTGGAGACTCCTTCCAGCCTTTCGTGTCCAGCAAGGCATCGAGTCCTCAGAGGCCCGAGGAGCGGCACTTGTCCTCGAGGTGGGGAACAGTCTGCCCGTGTCGCCCCGGGCCTGGCAGGGTGCCTGGGACACAGGAGGAGGAGAGCAAGGCAGTGACGGCTCAGAGCTGCTGCCGTGTTGAGGGCTCGCCCGAAGAGCAGAGCCCTTGGTGGGCTTCGTCTCCTGGGACTCAACGACCCACCGAGAGGGGCTGTGACCACCTCCCTTCCCGCAGCACTGCACACGCGCTCCCAGCTCGGGTCCGGTCAGGGCGTCGCGCCGTCTCTCCCGCCAATACTGGCCCGGTGGGGGAGTCCGTGGAAGCTGTGCAAGGCTTCCACGCGGGATGCAAGGAGCGCCCACAAGCTCCCTGCCTCCTGTGCCCGCCCCACAGGGCCGAGCCGCTCTGCTAGCCGGGCGGGACCCGGGCAGGCCCCGGGCGGGCAGGGGCTCCCAGGCGCAGGCTGTTTCACGGTCTTGTCTTTCCGAGGAAGAGAACTGAAGCCTCCCCACGAGGAACTGAGATCGCCACGCCACACCAGGAACCTGTCCTTGCCTTTTCACCCAGAGAGCATTCTGGCTCAAAGATCTTCCTGCTTCTTCCCTGCTTTTCCACTCGTCCTCCTGTTGAGAAGTGCTTTCAGACTTTTGAACACAATATAAACCAAAACAGTGTGATTCCTATCGTGGAATCTATGTCAACATCTTCAAATTACAAAAATCAGGTGGGACGAAATTTCCTGAGCATTCCTGTTGTGTGGGGTCATCACGTACGGGAAGTCTGCGCGCCCCTCACTGCATCATGCCCTAACCGCCACATTTAGAGCACTGTTTGGGGGGGGTGACTTCACATACAGGGTACACGTAGACACGGGACCACCCCAAAATACTCTGCAGCCGTAGCTGGGCAACAGGGGCGACTGTCCCACAAGAGCCACGTCAGGCTGCTCAGGGAGCCAAGACCGAGTCTCAGTTCCAAGGACGAGCCCCCGAGGGTCACCGGGCACCCCCTCCAGACACCGGCCAGCCGCGTCCCGAAGGAGCAGCTACAAAGGAGCCCCTCTCGAGGAATGGATTTACTTAACTGCCTACTTTCTAATCAGCCCTTTGGATTTGCATCCCTGCAAGGCCCACGCAGACCGCCTCCTGCAGGAAGGCCCCCGCCTCCCCAGGAGTGCACACCTGTAGGAGCTGTCTTCCCGGGGTTCCAAGTAGTCCTACAGAACTTCTTGCTCAATGCCCAGAGCTCAACACGGTTCGAGGCACAGGGAGGGTTCCCAGCAGATCCTTGATGATAGCAGAATGTTTCATTCCTAGGGACTAAGTCTGTCAATCAGATGACATGGGGGAACAGGTGCAAGCTGCCTTGTGTTCCTGGATTCTTTCGGTTTCGTGTCATTTTAAAAACTGATGGTTTCGGGGGCGCCTGGGTGGCTCAGTCGTTAAGCGTCTGCCTTCGGCTCAGGTCGTGATCCCAGGGTCCTGGGCTTGAGCCCCGTGTCGAGCTCCCTGCTCCGCGGGAAGCCTGCTTCTCCCTCTCCCACTCCCCCTGCTTGTGTTCCCTCTCTCGCTGTCTCTCTCTTTCTGTCAAATAAATAAATAAAATCTTTTTAAAAAATAAAAACTGATGATTTCAAACACACTGGGCAGTGAGCCCTGGCTTTACTCCCGACATTGGCTTCGGTTGTCCTACAGGCTGGGCCCTTCTCCCTCGGTTCTTCACACACATGCAGATATCAGCACCCGCCTTTTCCCCAACCACCTCCTCATCACCCCTCAAACGACCCGAATGTCTTTTGGGAAAACCTCCCCGAATAACCTAACCTAGAGTCGTCCCCTCGTTCTATTCCCTTAAAGTACTCTGTTCTTACCGCAATTTTAATGAAGTAATTTATACCCTTACTTAGCACAGGCACTGCACACTCAGGGACGATCAGCGAGGAGGTGGGAGGCGAGAGGGAGTGGGGGGACCGAGGAGAACACGGCCACCTAGAGGGCCTATTTGGCCCCAGCAGAGAACATCCCAGTGTGATCAGATCATCCCTGTTTTCAAAGGAAGCCAAAAATCTTGGTTTTAAAAGTCAAGTCCCTCCCAACGTCTAAATATTGGCAAATAAGCATGTTCAGGAACAAGGCAGGCCAAACCAAACACACCAGTGGCTCCTAGTCCGTGGCCTCTGGTTTCATCTCTCTCCCACCCGGCTCTCAGTCCTGCAGGGACGTGTGCCGGGTCCACCCTGCTCACCATCATGTCTGGATTCAACAGGTGAGAAACAGAAATAGGTGATGGCTTCTCCCGGTAGAGCCCTGGGGTCAGAGAGGATGTTCTGGCAGGGAGCTGGCGTCCCCCGGTGCCCGTCCTCCCGCTCTCACTGCCCGCTGGACATTTCTCCACCTCCCTTTGAGCCTCGCTCCCCAGCGACCACCATGGGCCTCCTTATCCTCTGGCTGGAAGTCATCACAATGGGCTCTGTGACATCACCAATAGCCCGGCCCCAGGCACCCAGTCTCCAGGTGCGCAGGCAAACAGACCCACCATGAGCAACTTCGTCCCCCATCTCTGCTCACCATGCGGACGCTAACATGGTTCTTGTTCTTGCCTCTGTGCCTCTCCTGCGGCTACGCCTTTATGTTTTCTCCTCTGAGGGATAAAGTCAAAGAACCCCAGGGGAAGGTGCCTTGCGGAGGGCACTTTCGGATCAGGCAGAATCTCCCAGAGCACGCCCAAGGCTGGCTTGGGAGCAAATGGCTCTGGCTTTTTTTTGTTGTTGTACTGTATGTGATACTGAAGTTTCGAGGAGACAGTGAGAAGAGTAAGGTAAGGATGGCTCCGTTTCTTACCCCGCACTGGTTCGTTCCGTCTCAGACGTGTCAGGCCCGGAGAGACGACGTTCTCATCCTTATAGGCGGGGCCGTTCGGTAGAACGAAGTAGGATGAGAGGTCCCTACCCCGTGGTCCTGCGACACGCGGGCACATTCATTTCCTGACGTGTCCTTGGGGAAGACAACGGCCCCCAGACCCTCAGGGGTCAGGGCTAACGGTTGAAGATGACCTTCCGCCGATCAGCTAAAGAAAAGCTTGGTTTGATATTTATCCTATTAAATGAGTTTTTTCCTAATGAAGGAGAGATTCGAGAACTTGGTGTGTCTCAGGTCAAAATAACTCACAGAGACAGATTCACTGCTCCTGATTCTTAATTTCCCTAGAAGAAATTCTTTATTTCTTCTTGTTGTTGTTGTTTTAAAATTCTTTATTTCTTACAAGTTGCTGAACCGAATGGAAATGGTATCATTATCCCGGGTAAAGGAAAAGACCTGTTGTGAAGGGATAAATGTATAAAGAAGTAGCACCTCCTCCCCGAAGTGGCTGAACAAGCGACAGACGGGGAAAGGGAGAGAAATACAGCATGTTCTCTGCTAGAAGGCCCAAACACTTCATGATGCTGTGTCCAAACTGATAGAGCAGGGGTTGGCAAACCTTTTCTGGAAAGGAGCAGATAGTAGCTACTTTCAGCTTTGCAACACATACAGTCTCTGTTGCAACGACTTGACTCTGATGTTTTAGCATGAAAGCAGCCTTATGTAATGCACAAATAAATGAGCAAGGCTGTGTTCCAATAAAACTTTATTTATAAAAACAACTGGTGGGCCAGACTGGGCCATAGTTTGCCAATCCCTGGACTAGAGTGCAATGCTAGAACCATCTTTTCTTAGGGGAGTCTGACTCTCTTGGAACTCTGTCAAAACCAGCAAAGGCAATAATATTATTCACCCTGAATATCTTTCTTGACAGGAGCAGAATCCTGCCCTTCGAGGCTGTTCATTTCGCTCTCCACTAAAGAAAAATCAAAATGCTTCCCCCAACAAAGACTATGCGTTCAATACCTTAACCCAACTGGAGAGGGACCTTATGAAATTCGTGTCCAAGGTGCGGAATCTGAAAATCACCATGGCAACTGGCAGTAACCTCAAGCTTCAGAGCATGGAGGGACCTGCAGGCCCACACAATATTACCATCTATGAAATATGGGGCGAAGAAGACTCTGACTGAATGGATTTGTGTGTCAGAGTAGGAGAGACAAAGTTGAGTGTTGACAAACCATATGCAAACCAATAAAACTATTCTGAAGAAAAAGAATTCTCGAAGTTGACACCTTTTTTTTTTCTTTTCTTTTCTTTTTCTCTTTTTTTAAACTGGAAGAAAAAATAAATGTGAGGCCAGTAACCACAGCAGTTAGTCTTTTGTTTTTGCCTTCCTCACCTCCCCTAGACCAGTGAGTGTTGAAAAGAGCACAGACTAGCAACATTGTAGTGGAGGCAACCTTCTTGGCTATGGCGCCTGGGGCCTCTGGAGGACAATTAGGCTTAGGAAATTTGGGATAAGATGTGGATACCATTTTCATTGTAGTTATTTTTGTAGTAGCTATTTGTGCAAAAGGTGGAACCAATTTTTATGTTTATAATTTATTACAAAGGCCAACTTTAATTATAGGTTTAAAAGAAAATGATTGAATTAAGAGTGTGTGTGTGTGTGTGCATGCATGCGTATGTCAGGGAGTGGTGGATTCTAGAAACATTTGATTTTCTTCCCACCAGGAAAGTCTTTTTATTCGTTCTGTCTCATGGATGACATGTATTGACTTTTTCTTCTACCAAATATCCAGTTGGAGTAAGATATAGAGAATTGATCTCTATTTTCAATGGAATTTGGATACAGATGAGCTAACCAGGGCTTCCCAAAGTAGTCGATATGAATGTTTATAATACGTATTAAAAATAGGGAGATTTTGGCATGTTAGTGTGGCTGATGGGAACTACACTCACCAGAGGCTGTTAAATTAGCTTATTGACCCCCAATCTAGGTCAGCGGGCAGCTCTACAGACACTCAGGTGCAGGCCTGGGGAGAGAAGCCAGTGGGGAAGACCATGGAAGGTTCCCTACTTCTCAGTCCAAAGGCAGAGGCAGAGGAGTCCTGAATCTCCATCCTTGAATCCCCACGGTTTGGGCAAATTCTTCAGGCTGTGTCGTGTGTGTGTGTGTGTGTGTGTGTCAGACCCCAGACCAAAGCCACCCGCCCATCTCGTTCTGTCTTATCAAAAAAATATTCTGGTGGTAACCTGTTGATAAGGAAAATCTGTGTCCTAAGATGGCCGGCGAGAGAGTCCCAGTCCTTGCCTCGGGGCTCTTCTGGGTCCTTCTCCCTGCCCCGCCTCGCTCAGGTGCCAAGTATACGGAAGTAGAAGTGTATAAATTGCCCCCTTTGTTTGTGCTCGGGGCTCAGCCCTTTGGAGACCACACTCCTCTGAGCCCGCCGGCGTTAAATAAGCCTCCGATCCTCCAAGATCTCCAGGTGCCACTCGGTTCTTCCCCGGGCGATCCAGTGCAGGTTCCCTAACACTGTGATCTCAACATGGCGCAGGTTTTAGATGACTGGAGAGCATCTAAAAGGCCAGGGGTCAACAAACCATGGCTCATGGCCAAATCCAGCCCACTGCCCGTTTTTACACCACCCACGAGCTAATAATGGCCTTTCTATTTTTAAATGGTTGAGAAAAGAGGAGTAATATTTCATGACATGAAAATTACACGAAACTCAAAATTCAGTGTCCATAACTTTTACTGATGCATGGCCACACGCGTTCATTGCTTCTGTGTTCACAGGCAGGACTGAGTTACTGCAACACAAACCCTATGGCCCACACAGCTGAAAATACTGTCGGGGGCCCTTTACAGGAAGCTGGCCAACCCCTAGTTTATGCTAATCTTATTTACATGTTAACAACCAGGGAGAGTGTTCAAGAAAAGCAGATCTATTCAGCTGTAAACTTCACAAACCTCCCACATTTGCCTGCTAGGCTAACATGTAATTTTATAAATCACATTTTAGAAAGAAAGATGGGGACTGTAAGAAAAGGCAAAATCTCACAATTCCTTAGAGCAAGTTGACCAAGGATCTACATTAAAACAAAATCTGCTGTGCATTTGGATGTAGCAATTTCTATAAAATAGTGTCCCTGAGTCTCTGCCTAGCCTCATACAGAGCTTTGCAGACCATGGTTTGGCCTAGACAACAGTTGTTTTCTTAACCCAGTCAATTTCATGCAATATTTTCATGCAAAAATGCATTCGATTCGGGATCTAGGGCTGAAGAAAGCTACTGAATTCTGCTGTCCTAGCATAAACTCAATTCCGCATGTCACCACACTGTGGTTTCAGAAGAGCACGTGACAGGCCAAGGATAACAGCTGGCTCCCTGTGGTCACCTGGGGGGCTGGGGGCGCACTCACAGGGGTTTGCTCCCTCGAGGACAGTGGGAGGAGTCAGGCAATCACAGGAGTGACATCTGTCGCATCAGCTACTGGTTAGAAACAAGCCACTCCAGGGGCACGGGTTACACCCGTGTGAGCGCCAGGCCTGGGGCCCATTACAGAGCCCGCTGCAGAGAGGGAGGCCACTCCGGCGAGAGGGGTCAGGGACTAACAAACAAGTGGGAGGGCCGCCAGGGCCCTGCTTGGCGTGGTCATCTGCAAGGCCTTTCTCCCGTATCTGGGCACGATGGGGGCGGAAGCCTGGGTATCCCCGGGTGGCACGCAGCCCTGCGTAATCAGTCTCTCCCTTGAATGTGACAGAGCGGTCACTCCCATGTTTGCAGCGTGTCCTATGAGGCTCTATCCCAGCCCAGACACCCTCCTGGTGGTCTGTCGGTCACACCATAGCGACGAAATGGGTCCTAGCAACAACCAGTGGCCCGGAAGAGACCCCCAAGTCGGGTGAGACCCCAGCCCCAGCTGACACTTGGATTTCAGCCTGGTGAGGCCCCGAGCAGAGGAGTCCGCTCCCCGGACTCATACCCCGGCCCACGGAAACTGGGAGGTAATAAATGCGTGTTGCTTTAAGCCACTGTTTGTTGGGAATTTTTTACACAGAAATAGAAAAAAGTAATGCCGCACATGGACACACACAAACACGCCAGGTCTCTCCACCTGCTGCTTCTGATGCCTGGGATGACGCCTCCACCTTCCCTCTGACCCAGGCATCGGCCTCTGAATCTGAGAAGTGGGACCAAAGGAATATTGGCCGAGGATCAAGAACGAGGATATCTAGGGCGCCTGGGTGGCTCAGTTGCCTTCCACTCAGGTCATGATCTCCGCGGGGTCCTGGGATCGAGCCCCGCATTGGGCCCCCTGCTCAGCGGGGAGCCTGCTTCTCCCTCTGCAACTTTCTTATATAGATAAATTAAAAAAAAAAAAGGGAATACCTTGTTCCTTGAAACCAGAGGTTACAAACTGTTGGCTCGGGGACCGAACCTCTCCCTGCTCCTGCCACATTTACGTGGCCCACGGTCCTTTTTTAACTTTTTATTTTGAAACGAGGATAGATTCACAAGAAGTTGCAAAGGTAGAACAGAGAACCGCCTTTTTCCGCAGTGGTTGCGTCTGGCGTAACTTCGGGACGCAAACAAAAGCAGGACCTGACACTGGGATGGTGTGTGTGAAGGGTTCTGCGCTATCTTACCCCACGTGGATGCTGGTGCACCCGCCCCCACATCCGAGAGACAGGTCTGTGCCGGCTCCGGAGACCTCCGCCCGCCGCCCCCACGTGGACACCGGAACCTCCCCCGTCACCCACCCCAGCAACCGTGCATGTTTCCATCTCTAAGATGTTGTTTGGAGGATGTTACATGAGTGAGGAGTCACCCAGCATGTGTGACCTTCGAGGTTGGCTTTTCCACTCTGCATCTGCGTTCCCTGCGAGTGGGCCTCTGCACCCACACTCCGCGCACATTTCACCATCCACCTGCTGAGGGACATTTCGGCCATTTGCAGGTTTGGGCTCTCACAAATAGATCTGCTACAGAGGATCACGTCCAGGTTTTTGTGTGGACGTGCAGTTTTATTTCTCTGGGATAAACGCCCAGATTTACGCCAGGTCATATGGGAAAGGGTATGTTTTGGCCCCCCAGTAAAATGTTTATAACTTTGGATTGGTGGGCAGTATTTTAAGTGAGATTCCACATTATATTCTAGCGAGGGAGACGCAGTAAATCTAGAAGTCCTAATGAAATACAAATAAACACATGGGAATTGTAGCACTCCAGGACGCATACCCTCTGAGCCTTCCCAACAGACTTACAGAAGCATCCAACCCACCTCTGAGCTCCGTGACCTGTCTCCTCCCAGTTAGGCCACACCAAGCCCATTTCTGCCCCAGGGCCTTTGCACATGGCCTCTCTCCCTACGGTAAGTTTTTCCACCAGATGTCACAGCCCTGGCTGCTATGCTTGTTGTTCTGATCTTTGCCCAGAGGGTCACCTGCTCAAGAGAGGCCTCCACTGACCACCCAGCTGACCTCCCCTGCCACTCCACATCATCCACTTTATTTTCTTGGCAATACCATCACTGTGTGACATTATGCTTTTTACTGAGCTGTTTCTTGTGGTGTCCCCTGGGATGTAAGCTCCATGAGGACAGGGATGGTGTCTGCTGTGTCCTCAGTGTCTAGAACAGAGCTTGGCACATAATGGGTACTCCATCCAGATCTCGGAAAAGCTACTCGGAACTCATTTCAGATTTAGAGAAAACAATAGCACGGAGTTCTCATACACCCCTCCACCAGCGTCCCCGAATGCTGGCCTCTTAGGTAACCAGGGTAGAATCATGACAACCAAAAGCTGTAATACGGGTGCAACACTGTTCATTAACTAAAGTGAATTTCATCTCATTCCTCTCTGTTCTGGGATCCCAGCCAGCAGCCTACAATGCATTCAGCCATCCCACATTAGTCTCCAGTGGAACAGTCCCCCAGCTCGCCAGTTACGACCTTGCCGGTGTTGAAGAATAGCAATCAGCTCTTCCACAGAACGTCCCTCCATTTGGGTTGAGTGATGCTTGTTTTCTCACGATGGGAATGAGGTTAGGCCTTTTCGGCAAGAGCACCAGAGACGTGGCATCAGGCCCTGGTGTATGTGCCCCAACACTGTTGATATTGACCTTCATCGTTTAATTAGAGTGGTGCCTGCTGGGTTCTTCGCTGTAAGGTAGGAATATCTTAGAGGACGCCCTGAGTCTACACCAATCGGCCCCTCAGACTTTCACCCACTAATGTGAACATCCATCAGCGGGTCTTTTCTGCAATAATTATTTCAGTGGTATTGGTATTTGCC